GCGGTGGCGGCCGCGGTGGCCGCCGCGGTCGACGTGGTCGCCGACGCGCTGCAGCGTGAGGTGCCTGCGGCACCGCCGCCCTCGCCGCGCGAGGCAAAACGGAATGCAGGCCTGGAGGGGGGAAGGAAGTTTGCTGAAGTGGTGGGGAAAGCTTTGCATGTCTACCCGAGGTGCGAGATGGTGTGATGGTGGACCCCTTGAGCATGAAGAAGAAATCTGGAAGAATACACTCCTGGGATGGCCTTTTGTTCTTTCAGGTCAATCAAGTGGTGCGGATCAAAAGAGGTGATCCATGTTCCCTCTCGGCCATGGAGAGCGAACCCTCAGACTCTTTTGCCAAAGGACGCGTGTCGTTCGACTCCCCAAATGCAGATGGATTCATGGATCCACTGCTAAGTGCCAAGGTGTAGCAAAAGCTTTGACCCCAAATCGATGGGGGGCCGGCCGGGGGTAGGGGATGTAGGGGGTGTGAGGCTGGCGGTCGGGTGCATGAGAGGAAGTAGGGACATGTGGCTCTCTTTGGCCACGCGCCACCGAATTACTGGTAAACTGCAAACTGTCTGTTGGCGCGTTATGGCGCGTTGGGAATCGTGAACTGATTGCTTGTGGGTACCACGTACCCATCCACTCATGGAATGTGACACAACTTGCTGTTTGGACATGTTTGAACGGATTTTGTCAAGGTCCAATGCATGGAGATTCTTGGGGCGCCAGGTATCCGTGTGGTTCGTCCTCACCCGTTGGGACCTCGCAGGTGGCTGGAGGGCTTGAGGGCTTGACTCCTTCGGAGGAAGCCCAGAATGGGGAAGCCCCAAGCTGTGTTAGTGGTTCATGACACGAGTACTGGACCAAAATCCATAGGTATAAGAACCTCGTGGGGATGGTCATGGTCCCTGGCAGCCAAAGGAACCACGGGGTGGACCCACCAAAGAGACTTTGCCCCATCCTCACCGCCAGGCTTTCACTGCACCCTTCCACCCAGCGTGCTCTTGGCCGCCGTGGTGGCAGCGTTTGAGGAGGTGGGGAGAGAGGGAACCAGAGACGTGGGGCCAAGAGGGATTTCTTCTTCTGGATCCTTTCGACATGGTGGTTTCGCTACTTCCAGACGTGCCCGTGACGGGATGACGTGGAAGTCGGACTCGGATGCGACGCGCACCGTTTTGGGACTTGGGTAGGACTCGGTTGCTCGGTGGTGACGCAGTGTATCTCTCCATCATGACGTTCCCATGCAATGACCCTAAAACCCTATAAACCCTAAACCCATGCTGTGTCGCCACTGAGTCAGATTTGGTGTCGCAAATGAGACCCTTGCCAAGTGAGAGTCCTTCTGAGGGATTCCCACGGAGCAACAAACAGGACAAGCTGTTCTACTGTAGCTAGAAGTCCGGCTCCGCACGTCGCCACAATTCATGCTGCTGTTCGGAGGATCTCGAGATCCAACGGCCCGTGCCAACTGAAAACTCGTTTCAACGCAGTGAAATGGCTGTGGGTCGTGGCACCAGACCGGTTGACCTACCCTGGAAGGTTGGTCACCACGTAGACTGGTCGGGCTCCAGGTTGAACGACCCATCCCCAAAGGGGGAAGGAAGAATGAACTTGCATTCTTACAGACTTCGTCAATTATAGGTTGGTTGTCTAGACAAGCTCTTCCTACCCACCTTCATCAGGTTTGAGCCGCTGAGACTCAGCAGTTTTAGCAACCTCACTCGAAAACAATCAGAGCTCACAGGAAAAGTAACACGGTCCAATTACACATCTAGGATCTTCTATAGGGAGGCTTGTGAGCCAAAGGTCCATTCTCGGGTAACGGCAGATCGGCAAGAATCCTCGCGCGGATCGGCGCCAGGAGAACAAGGCTCAGATCTTGGAAGAGGCAGTGGCAATGGCGACGGCTGGTTAGCAGTCGGTCAGAGAGTCAGGGACCTATGAGGGTTGAGACGGAGTACTATATGAGCCCTCGGAGGTGGTGCTCAATTAGATCGTGTTACGCTTGGTTCACTCCAAAAAACATCCGTGAGGTGGTGACAAATGTTCAGATGGTTCTGTTGTTTTGGGGCATCATCCCATTTACATGTCATGCCGAACCAACCGCCGATCGCCGGGACCGCCCTCGGCCGTGACGGTGCAAAGCGGAATGCAGAAAGCCTTGGGGGGATATTGGTCAGACGTATTCTTCGACACCTGTGATCTACAGTATGGTTCATGGCCTCAAGGTGGCACTTGTCATGAATGAATGGGTTGTGACAAACAACTATTATTAGATAATTAGGGTGCTTCTATGATAATTACATAATATTACATATAATTACACATGATCGATGTATTAAAAACATCAAGCAGAACGACAACAACTGTGGGCAGGCAATGTATGTTGCCGGATCAGAACTTTTTGACTGAATGGCAAACTCCCCAATTCTGCGACCGTGGGACAATTAGAGCTTTTGACAGGGGTTTACAGTTAGACTGATTTGGATTTGAACCTGCAAACTTTACTCCTGTCAGTGAGCTGATAGTTTAGGTATGTTTAGAACGTGGAACATGTTGAACCACCTTGGGTCCAACTAGCCTGGTCCGGATGGGGAGGAGGAGAAGCAGCTCCGCACTGAAGAGGAGGTCGCTGTTCGTCGGGTGACCTCGGTGCTCGGGGGTTTGGACTCACAGCCGTTCCGTCGGTGACGAGTTACAAGCCCAGTTTGACCAGTAGAGCCGAGCTTTTTGGGGCAAGTCCTTTTTGAAGCACAACAAGCTTTGCGACTACTGTACTTAATGTAGACTCTTGATTAATCACCAACCCGGTTGAATGCACGCACTTGCGGTCCGCGTCCGCGTCCACACGGTCCCTTGTTGGAAATCCTTTTCATATGGGGGGGTTATGGTCCTCAAGAGTCTAAATTACGTGCGCCTGGGTGGAGTGAGATCGTGGCTCAGACGGATCCAGTACGAGGGACCAAGGGACCTGGGCTGTGGGTCACCAAGAGGCCTACCGGGCACGACCTTTACCGGGTACCACGAAGCGTGAACCTGCGAAGCTAAACACAAACACCTGACTGGTGCACCGGTAGAAATGAGGGAAGGAACTGACCCCCAAGAGAAATGGCCTTTCGATCCAGGCACATGAGTTGTGCCCTGCTCGCACCAGTCAGAGCGAGATGATTCCTTGAAAAGATCTATAGACTCCTTTTGATGCAGCCCCCCCAAAAGAGCGCCACCCCCGCCACCGATTCAGGGCTCCTCCCCCCCAAAAAATCTGCCACTTCCGCCACCGATTCAGGGAGCGAGCCCGCAGGATTTCTTGAAACATCGCTTCACCACGCCTCATCCGCACCGCCTCCTGCACCCGCCTCCTGGGGTGGGTCGCGCGGGTCACGCCGGAGGAGCTGCATGACGAACATGTGGCGCTTTTGGATCGTTTGAGTAGGCGGCGCCAGCCCGGGCGGCGTTGGGCCGGGGGAAGCAGCACATGTGTCTGAACTCACTGACTCTTCATTTGCGATTGGAGTGTGTATCTTCATATAGGGACAACTACCGACTGGCACAATGGGTGGACTGGTCTATTTCTTTTCTTCCAGGGTTTCTTTGGGAGGTCTCCTATTTTAATACACCCTTATTGGTTTCTTGGTCGCGGTTGAACGATTTGCACTCTGCACCTGGGGTATCGAACTATGTCATCCTGGCTCTCATGACAGCACGCACTGGACCCCCTTTGTCCGCGCTATTGGTTCGCTTTGATGCATTTCCTCAAGTCACAGTGCGGTAATTTGATGCTTTGGGTATATAGCTGGATCCCTGGGTGTCCCTCACGTAATCCCTTCCCCCCAAAAAAACAACGCCCACCTAGAGAGAGCTTTGGAGATGAAGAGATCCATGTCTAATCTAGAAAGAGGGTCGATGCGAAACCACGCGAGAACTTCAAGAACAAAAACACCGACGGCCCAGACGATGGGATCCTCTACACAGCGGAACGCAGCTGAGTACAGCATCAGCTGATGAATCTCATGTACTCAGGAGGCACTTGGAGCCCTAGGGTTTACAAACAGATGGACTTCCCCGGGATGACCATCCACCTCATGGCGGTGTGCCCAGCGGGGAGGCTCCAAGCTGAAGCACTGAGCTCCGGGGAGGAGCAGGCGGAGCGTGAAACGGGTCCGAAAGTCGTGAGAGGTTGGGAGGCCAGATGGCCCAAGACCTATCCAACATGGTGTGTGGGGGTTCATGTATGTTCGCCCATGGCCCAGTTTGAGTGTTTTTTAATTCTGGTTGATTTCTGGAATGCTGAGTGATGTCCTGGTGATTTCGAGTCTTTCTTCGGGTCTTTGAAGGTCAGTGATCATTCCCGATGCCTCGAACTTTGTCTTGGAAGAAATCCAACATGAGACGAGGGAATCCCCACTGCCACTCTTTACAAATCTTGGGTTCCAGGTGGTAACACTTCGTCGATCAGGGATCCACTGGTCCCTCGTCTCATAAGGTATATATACCTGGACCTTCACCCACTGGGCTGTGGGTGGCTCCAGAGGCTCCACATCGCTAAGGATCAGCACATGTCCTTCAGAACCTTAGTTGCATGTTCAATGTCTTTTAGCATGCGTGTTCAGTTAAACAATGCCTGTAAAAAAGCCAGCATTTCTGTGGCCACGCTCTGTGGAAAAGCACAGTTTCTGGGCCATAGATAGCCTTTTACTATTGGTTGGTTGATTGATAGAGGGGAAATGATCCCCAAAGTGTACAATCAACGTATGAAATATGGTACCACATGGATCCTTCTGTTTGTCCAAGGACGGACCTCAGACCTGCCGCGCTGGGTCCAGTTTTCGACTCCCTTCCGGCAGCCCCGGGGGGGAACGAAACTCCAGGCCACGCTGCGGGAACGCTTCGAAGAGGCCACCCGTGAGTTGCAGGCGACGGCGAAGACGGTGGGACGGGGAGGGGTGAAACATCAGGTCGACGAAGGATGTTCGCATATGGAAGTGCGTCAAAGAATCTGGTGGAGTGGAGAATGAGCGAGCAACTGGTTTACGAGACTGAACACTTTAGCTCAGTACGCAATCCTGACTGGACAAGACTCAAATGAATCACACTTGCAGGGGTTCGAAAAGAAAAGACTATGAAGCCAATCAAGGTCCAATATCTCAAATCGCATCCTGCGCGTGGGACGCGATGGATCCTGTTGTCTCATCTAATCTCTTCTGAGTGCTCCCTGAAGCCCACTGGAACCAGCCAGCTGGTGTAACGATAGCTGCTAAGCTTAGCTGCTGGGCTGAAACAGCTGGACACGCCCGGCTGGTTCTTTGAACACCGGGTGATGACCCAACGGACAAATTTGCGCAGAGTGCGTGGCAATCCACAGAATCCCTCTGGACCAGGTGTCTACTGTTTGGACATTCTTAAGAGGATCCACCTCCAGGGGTGACGCCCACAGTGAATCTGGTCCCCGGTTTCTTCAGATTGACACCCCCCGGGCGTTAGTCCTGAAGGAGGGTCCGTTGAAAACAGGGTGGCATAGAACGTGCAGACGCAGAGTATGGGGTGGTAGACGCAGAGCCGTGGATTGGTAAAAAGCGAGACTGAAACGGGATTGGATGGCCCAGGATCTCATAGTAAGGGGCCAAAGCTTCAAAATAAACAAAGGTTCGCATAGTATCAGAGATTTTGATGTTTAAAGGTTCATGATCCCTATATACGAATTAATTAGAATATATGCATTTATATATACATATATATATATATTTGCTTTTTGTGCTGTTCTGGAAGTGTCGAACTTTGTAGCTCTCGGCCCAGGAGCTTTCTCAGCGCCAGCGATCTCAGGAGAGGGGGACTGACCGGACAGCGGAATGTACGTTCCGTGTCAGTCTCCATTTTTGGGTGTGTAGCTGCTACGTAGGGAGACCAGTCTACAGGCCTTCCGACCCCTGGGAAGTCGGGAAATAGACCAGTCTACTCCTTGAGCCTCGGGGGCTCTCCCATTTCAGGAACTGTGACTATTAGTACCATATAGGTACTAGACTATGGGTACTAGACCATGTCCACAAAGTAACAATCCAGGAACTCTTGTGTAAAAGCGCCAAGAGGAATGGATCACCATGTATCCCTCATCCTTTCTTGAAAATGGTATGATTTTCATTGGTCAAACATCGAGTGAATTGTCTACCCACCTGATCCAGTGCAGGTCAGAAGAGCATCCACCTGGATGTTGCCGTGCTCTACTGAGTCATGGCATGTCATGGTTTGAGATGCTTCAAGGGATTATCTTCTTTAAGCATCCAGAACAAGGACTCCAAAAACCTTCTGAAAAGGTACCTTCTAGCTCCACTTGAGCGAACCCCATCAACGCGCAGCTACAGGAGCAACGCGCTTGGAAACACCGCCCGGACCCCTGGACGAAGCGAAACACACACCGCGGCATGGTGTGGGTTGCTGGAGCCTTTCGGGCCCCCACTTGCACCACTGAGCCTTGTTGAAACCAACCATCTATAGCAGATGTAGAAGAGAAAAAGACTGAATCCACAGAATCCCCTTGACCCGTTGACCTCTTTGGTGTCCGGTGGTGGTGGACCTCGCGACATGGACCTCACTGGTCCGGCGAACGTGGTGGGTCGTTCACGACCCGATCCGGGCCGCTAGGGTGCTGAGGTCAGCCCGAACATGTCACAGGTGCGCTCCAAGTTGTGGGACACTCCACACTTAGAGCAAATGAGAAAGTCCACTTGTATAGTCAGACCACGTGGGACCCTTACATGTTTTTAGTTTAGTGACTTGGTGAACTGAGCTAACCTTTGCAAGCAACTGGCCATCAAGTCTTGCAAATATAGATAATAGGATATAATAAGTATTTATTATTCAGTTGATACCCAGTATCCAGTCAGTAAATCACCATGCATCCAGTATGCCTGGCTGGACCTGCCAAACAGTGTTTGTCAATGTTATTGGGTAAATAGACGATGATATGGGAGCTGTTTATCCAAGCACCATTCTTTTGGACTTAAAGTCATACAACTTTCACCTCCGACACAGCACCTGAAGAGGTGTGCGGCGGCACATGCCTTCATGGCCCACGCGAACTGCCTTGGACATGGAGGCATGCTGTGGATCAACACCTGAAACACACATAGTGCTGGAGTGCTGACAAAGTTGAGGGTCTTCATTTACTACAGGTATATGTATATTGTAGACTCTTCATTGATACCCCTGCCGCATATCATGTGGATTGTAAAACTCCTTATCATGGCAGGTTTGTTAGTCAAGAGTCCACAGTAGGTGTGGCTGGAAGGCAACCAACCCCGACCAGTTTGAAAGGAGTAAGCGGCTAGGTCCTGCTAGGTTTGCCCATACCTACCACAGATAGTTCATTGGGTGGCTCTGGGACAAGCATTGCTGAGCTGGTTGAACACCTGAGACTTTGAGTGTGAAGGAATTCTTGAAGATCCATAAAGATCACCATGTCGTTTGCGTCTGAGTTTCAACACCATGCATCTTCACATAGGATGACCATGATGTAAATTTCTGAACTTTGGAAGTTCTGTTACCTTCAGGGCGATCCGCCCCTCCATCCTCCACACCTTGTGACCCCTCAAAACGACTCCGAAATGACTCCCTCTTGCTCCACCCACCCAAACCCCACGCAGAACCGTGCATGGTAGGTTCTGTGCACGGTGTGCCAGGATCATTTGAGCCGAGCACAGGATATCTTCACCTTCTGGTTCTACGAGGCGCGATGTGTCTTTCTTCACGCCCTGACGACGCTTTCGCGTGCGCGTTGCGCACGTGCGCATGATGCTCGCACGTGACGACGCTTCCGCGCGCCTTCTGGCTGGGCTGCTTTGAACTGAATCATGGAGAGCGTTGGGGGAGTGCTGATGAAAAAGAAGAAGAGAGTGGAGAACGCCTGCCAGTTGTTTTGGTTTGCCAGAAGGCTCCCTGTCACTGTAACTCCAGTTGCAGCTCACGTTGCTTTGGATCTTGGTGTGGAACCAACCCCTCGAACTGGACGACCTCGGTTTTTGGGACCAGCGGTCTCCAACGCTTGCAGGGGCCAAGCTCCTTTGGTCTCAGGGCACGACCGACAAGACTGGAACATACATTAATTGACCGCTAAAATCAACCACCCCAATGTAGGACTGTACCGGTACGTGCATAAATATGTATATCTACACACAACATGTATTATACCATATTATGCAGTATAACTAATCTCTAGAGCCTATTTCATATGCCAGTTTTGATAGGACACAACTCATCAACATTTTAGATTTTAGGTAGTTGGTGATCCAACATAGAGGTCACTAGAGACTGGCATGTGAGACCGGGCTTCGACCGAGCTCGCCTGGTCCACCGGCAGGTGCGAGATCGTGCGCGCTGTGCACTGCCGCGCTTCCGGAGATCGGAGGTGCTACCAGTGCCCTGGAGATGTGCTGGGTAGGTCTTCCTTCAAAGTCTCAAACAAACGAATTATGCGGACCTTAGAGTTTCAAAACCCTAACCCCTAAAAACCTTAGGGTTTCGAAGCCCTGGCTTTGGGCACTTGATCTTGGGGGGCCTCTCAAGATGACACCTTTAACAGGTCACAAGTATAGTTTCAGCATCTTGAGCCACCTTAGAAACACAAGCCCAATTTTCAGAGACCAGGGCATTCTTGGGGTCTCAGTTTGGAACTGAAACTTTACTCCATTCAGGATTCCTTTGAAAGCCGCAGATGCAGGAACCATTGCTTGTGAAGGCACCAGAAGCAGAGGACCATCCATAGCAGGGGTTCAGACCCTCAAAGCCCTTTCCATGGGTGCAAGCCCGGATTCTGAAAACAGGTGATGTTTGCACCTTCAGCCGGCAGTGTACGATGTGTACGGAAGAGTCAAATGGATGCGATGGAATGGGACATGATTTGTTTTCAATCAGCACCCAGTGCCACCAAGAGAACAGGTCCGACCCAGGAATCTCTCGTTTACGATACACGAGTGGAGCTGCGGCGGTCTGGTCAAATTCCCGTCGAGACGGCGAAAAACACCGGTTGTTTAAATCCTTGGAAATGGTGGGGGAAAGAAGATATACAGTATCAACCAGGAGTCACAAGACGGGGTGCCGAGCTTGGAGGTTAGGGGTGCCCTTGTCACATCCACTCACTGGATGGGACCAAACACTACCTCTTGGTGACCTCTGGATGTTGTTGTTTCGCTCCACGAGACTGGCAAGGGAGAGGAAACATCATCGACCGCTTGACCTACCGCGGTAGGTCACCCTTTCAGTTCCACTCGCTGGAAGGCTCGGAACATAGAGCCGTCTAGCCACTTGGCCAAGGGGTCTTCTATCAAACTACACGCCCAATCACGCCCATACTACCTCAACTCTTCCAGTGCATGCTTGGGCTCCCCAAGAGTTAGTTCCTCACCAAAACATCAGGGATCGCCACACCGAACGCCGATCCACCAAGGTACCGGAGGCGCGGAGTCCGGACGTTCGTCGTTCGTCTCCATTCACCCGGCACGGCCGAAGGAATCGGAACTCGAGACATGTTACGGTGGCTCCAAGTCTTGCTCCTTGTAGCTTCTTGTTACTAGTAGCGTCCTTGCTCCTAGTAGTACGGCCAAGAGCCCCTAGTAGCGTCCTTGCTCCTAGTAGCGATGCCCTTTGCTCCTAGATGGCACAAGTTACCCAAGTTTGGTGGTTTTATATGAACCCGCATCCAAACGTCATGTTGGGGTGCCAGTGCCATCGAGCCTCTGAATCCTTGTAAGATTTATATTGGATCCGTTCTGAGTCTTTAGGTGGTAAAGCATTGGTTAGCTTAGGTTGTTGGGTTGGGTTAGGTTGGTAGTTAGCTTAGTTTGGCTCAGTTTAGCTTAGTTGGTTAGTTCTTTAGTTGGTTGGTTGGTTAGTTAGTTAGCTAGGTAGTTGGTTATTTAATCAGTCAGTCAGTCAGTCAGTCAGTCAGGCCCTTTGGGTGAACATTCTCGCCAACTCGTTGGTCGTTTGACGACTAGCTGTTTAAGTACAGATGGCACCAGGGAGGTCACACAGCAGTGGTGTAGCTGATCCAGCATCCAAGATGCACTTGCATCTTTTTGCTCGCCTGTCGACAGGATGCTTCTTTGGAGGCTCCGTGCATGCCTTCATCGCACAAGGAGCCAGCTCGCAGTAGCATCTTGCAAGCATGTCACAGAATGTGCGGCCTAGGGGGAACAGGATGCTGTGGACGGCAATAACTCCTTCAGGGGGAGTGAGAGCCACATTTTTCTTGCTACTTTCAACCAAGTTCTGCCTCAGTTGTGCAGCATTTCTTTGTCAACCGCATGTGGGAGCTAAAGCATGCGTTGGCTTCAGGGGTCCAGGCACGCTAGAAAGACATGCAGAGTTCTGGGGCCAGGTTCTGTTTTTGCCGATCTTGGATCAGAGCAAGTTGCTGCTGTATTCAATTTCACATAGTCAAACATCGTTATGGGATTCAAGAAACACTTCGATTCCCCTTCGTGATCATGGCTTTTTGCTCACAGCAAGAATTGGACTTCTAGCGAGCTAGAGATGCTCCTGCAACATCCTGCAACAGATTTGTTTTTTCTACAGCAGCGGGAGAAGTCACAACCCCAGACCACTAGACCACCCAGAGCACCCAGATCAGTCATGATCAGTTTGTCAACTCATGACAAGGTCCAATCTGTTGAGCCGACCGTGTTGAAGATTAGTTTTTTCCGTTTCTTGTTCAATTACTTTTTTACAATGCCATGTGTGTGTTTTAGATATTTTGGGTGTTTTCGTCCGTTTTCCTTCGTTTGCCGGACTGTTGGCGCACCCAGGTCTTCGGGAGAGGCGTCGAGAAGTTTGTGAGAAGTTTGTGAACTGATTAGTCGATATGAGGTATACTAGACCAGAGATGAGTGTGTGAAATAGCGAGTTTGAGTTTGTTTCCCTTCTGGCAGTGTTAGGGGTCTACAGCAAAGAGTACTGTAATTATTCATGCATTAAGACAGCAGTATCAGGATTCTAGAACTGCATTCTGTGAGGTTGCGGGTAGGCTGCCACTAATTCGGATGCTGGTTCCGCTGCAGACTCTAGAGCAGCGATTGGGAGGTTCACAAGATGTGAATAAATTGTGCGCATCCTTTTGGTGCGCCTGATCCGCCAGACTTTTTGTTGGGTGAAAAAAGCGAGAGCAGCGGTGCGCGAGCATGTGCTTCCTTGTTTTTGGTGCATATTTGCCATGTGCTTCTACTCTCGCGGTTCTTGTTTGCCTGTTCTGGTGCCAAGTGCTGAAACCAATGGCCTAAAATAAGATGATTCCCAAAGATCTCCTCCTAAAGAATCCTTACTTTGATTGAAAGGTGAATGGGCTGCCCGGCTCAAGCCGGACGGGAACGTTTTCAGTGGTGGCTCCCCGGCGCGGTTCGTGGGTTTCGCCCTCGAAGTGTGTGGTACGAGATGACGAGATGTTGCCGGTGCAGTTGGATCTCTGTCAAAAAGCATGTTCCAGATGGTGTGCCGAAGACCTTCCAAATCAGAGGAATCAAAGAGATTCAAAGAGATTCATGCTGATGGTTTTCCGCTTGCACGGGGCTTGGGATTTCCCCTCCCGGCGTCAATCCAAAGGGTGGAAGGCCCCACAGGCCGCAGAATTTGGCCCAAAGAGGCTGAACAAAGTCGCTGATGGATGTGCCCCAATGTGACACCGGCTCCAAACACTAGCAAGCCGGAGGACCAGAAACGACAAGAAACAAGAACAACAACAACCAACAACCAACAACCAACAACCAACAACCACAAGAACAACAAGAACAACAAGAACAACAACAACAACAACAACAACAACAACAACAACAAGAACAACAAGAAGAAGTGAGTGCATTGGCCAACATTGGCTGTCACACATCTACTTGAAGTGACAACCCTCAAAGTGACACTGGCCAGCTGGATTTGGATGACCTGCCTGGTTCCTTTTTCTCTATTTTGATGACAGACAGATCGATATATATATATATAGATCTCCTAAAAGCGCAGTTTTTTGTTTCCGTCCATTCAGTTCATCCCACAGACATCAGCTGCACAAGTGCTGAACAAAAGCCAGCTCACTCCAGTCTCCGGCATGACCCCGTCACGCGATGACTTCTCAGATCTTGGGCGTTGTTTTGGATGTTTTTTGGGCGCCGGTGCTAGAGGTGGGCTGGCGCTGGACCTATGGATGGTTGGCTCTTGTAAAATTTCAGTAGATCATTATAGCATAGCAACATAATTATATAAGCATAATTATATATATATATATGTAAGCAATTTTGGGAAGGATCATGTCAGAGCAGACATCCCAAATAGAACAGTCTTGTTGGGATTAGCAGCCAGGACAGTTACATAACGACATATACAGAACAACCTTGTGACACGACCGTCCCAAGCTGTGTTCCCTTTCTTCTTTTGCTCGATGATCTGGAATCCCCAGTCCAACCCCCAGTCCATGTTGGGTTTTCTTCAGAATCTCAACTACAATTCATCATAGTAGAACTTCATAGAACTTCCATGTTGAACTGGGCCGGGTACAAGGTACTGGTAGGCTACGATCATCTTTTGATTCATGCTTCCATCATTTTGGCATCCACCAGCTTGGAGTGATAGAGGTTGAGTCAGCTTCCTAGCTGTTTGCTCGGATCTTGATCTCCCCACCCAAAAACCAAACACTTGGTCTCACCGCATCAAGGCGTTCATAGGCGTTCATCCGAACGGACCACCCAGTTGGACCTTGAGTCGCTCAGGAAGGACTTCGAGTTTGGAGAGCAATTGGGACGTGGCAGCTTCGGAGCACGGGCGCCCGGAGCAGTTCCGGCGGCGGCCGGGGACCCGGGGTCAGGTGGACGGGGCCGACAGAAAGCTGGGGGCAGCCTCACATGTAACATCATGTAACTATAGACGATGGTACTGTCGACGTAGGATTAATCAACCCGCCCCTTCAAGGTCAACAAGGTCAACAAGGTTTGAGATTGGAGGTTTCGGAGACCAGATCCCCCTAATAAAGGTGATGACCTGATGATGGATGATGTTTGCTAGGATTCTGTTTGAACCATGAGGCTTGATGAATAGGGCGGAGGTTGGGTGAAGTCTTCAATCCTCTTTTGGGATTTTTTTGTGGACGTTCACGCACACCAAAACGGTTTCATGATTTTGGGATGTGGGATGTCCACCAAACACTGGGAGCTGCTGTGCACTCCTGGTAGGTGGTCTTCAAAGTCCTCCGCAAGGAGGATGCTGTCACCTGCGCCGGGGCCGAAGATCCGGGGCCGAAGATTCGGGGCGGACACCCGAGTTGTTCGGGCCAAAAAACACAAAGTCAGAACCAGAGCTGGAATTGGTGGTCGCCCAACGGAACGCACCCGAAAATGCACTGAGCAGGTATTAACCTCAGACTCGCCTTTACATCTCCAACCTCAGGTGCCCCCTCCACTCAGCGTCCCAATACATAGTCCGGAAAAGCTTCTATGGGTTGGGGGACGTCACCGGAGGGTCTTGAAGATCATGCTAGCAGAGCGGTTTGTCCACCATGTCGGGTCCGGTTATTATTGTAGTTTTCTTGGGATACTGTGATTTACTAAGACACTGAAACAACGGTGTTTTTCTTGGATTCTTTGTTTGATGGTTGCCTCGGCACGTCCTCTCACCAACACTACCGGGTGTGTTGGTACACGTTGGTCGAACCCCGATTGGCACAGACTTGGAGGTGTTCATGCCGTCAGTCGAGTCGCTGAACATGAACGATGCACACATGCCAAAGCTCTGAAGAACTGCCCAGGACACCCAGAAGGAGTTCCTTCTTATATCTTCTTTTCTCGAATCATCTTAGGTGAACTTCTTTATTCAATGTGTTTCCTCTATTTGGGATCGGTTCTAGGGGATATATTTGTATTTGCTTTGTCCGTTCAAGTCCAAGCAAACTTATAACAATATGCCAAGTCAATTGGATGGCCCTGCAGGGCAGAGATGTCTTCGGTGCCTTGGGCACCGTGCGCCCGCCCCCGTCGCACCCTCGCAGTATGCCACGCGAATGGGGTGAGGTTTGCAAGCAGATCCAGCTGAGCGAGATGAAGAAGAAAGCTCGTCTGGAAGCGAATCAAGAGGCCAGTGGAATGTGGGTCCTCATGCTGGCAATGCTCCTTTGCAACATGCTCCACAGCTTTCCATGAAACTTTCATGAATGTTGAGTGGCCAACCAATGGATATAGTCTACACATACCACGTGTCCCCCGATATTTCAATACAAACCATTACAAACCTATATTCTTGAGGTCCTGAACTTACACGAGTGAACGGATCTTTTTTTCTGAGACATATCAGACTCAGACACTTCTTGGACGAGGCAGTTGCAGCGCAGGCACCAGCACCTCCCGCATTATGTCTTTAAGTGGCCCATATGGGGCGGGTTCCCATGTCACTGGCGAGTGTTCATGTTCGCCGACTTGATCCAGGTCGGCTGCTTGGCCCAAGCCTTCCTTAGAAGTGTGCTTTCTTTCTTGAAGCTCCGAAGAAGAGCAAGTTCTGCAGGGCCTGGATGTTGGCTTCCAACTGACTCGGCGTTTGGAAGAGCACTTCTTCCAACATTTGGAGGTTCCGGGACCTCCAGTTGCATTGACCAGCCCCCCCCAAAGAGATCCAAAAAGAGTTCCTCATATTTGCCTCCAAGAAGACCCCAAAGGATGACTTATATACTCAGCTTGTAGTTGACTCCCCTCTCTTCACCGCTGTATGCCTCCGGTTTCAGACTAAAAGAAGACACCGCACCAAAAATGCTCCTCATCTCCAGGTGGAGCTGCTCCGAAAGGTCTCTCGCGGATGTAGCTACATCGTTCAATACCTCGGTTCCTTCCTGGAGCGCTCGGGTTGTTACGCCGGGGCAGGCCAAGCGCGCGAAGCGCTCGGATGGAATGCATTGACATATGCACAGAACGAGGATGTAGTCTTGGGTTTCCTGGCCGAGAAGGAAAGAGAACACATGACACTCCCTGAAATGGCTCCACTGAAGACTCCACTGCCTGCAGCTGAAGCTGAGGGTGTACACTCCCTGCAACAAACACAGGTGTCGTCTTTTTTTGCCCAGTGACAGAAGGTGCAAAGTGATGCAAAGTGAGAATAATCGCTGAAAAAGGTGGTTGCAACTGGTGTTTTCCAGGCGATTTAAAGCCCATATTATCCTTTTCCAGAATGAGAGACAATGAGTTCGACTTCGTTCGGCCTTTATCCGCTCTTTTCTTAGATTCGGGAGTTGGTTCCCCGCCATGAGCGAGACTCACCATGGGAGGAGGGCGAGACTCTCCATATCATCATGGAGTTCTGCGAGAAAGGCGACCCCGGAACCTGCTCCGGACCTGCTAGAATGTTCTCAGCTAGCTCGAGTGAGCTCAGGTTTCCATTGCTCCCCCCATTCCCAGACCCGATGGCTGAAATCAGAATGGTTGATGCGAAAGGATTCCATCCAAAGTATTGGGTGAAGGTGACTACTGTATTCAACCTGGATGTCGTGTCCGGACACCACCCACTTCTGGACAGAAAACATCTTTGGTTGCACTTTGTGTGGAACATTGGGGGAAACCTACAAAAAAAGAAGACCGAGGCTCAATGAAGGAATGTTTGAACCACCAGATAACAACAAGTTGTATGACAGCGTTTGTTGTTTCGCGCGCCGTGTTCCAAGCTCTTTTTTGGACGTGGTCCAGCCTTTTTGATAAGAACCATCCCCAGTTCCAAGTACCTTCAGCACCTGTTTTGAGGTGAACAACTGGACTCATCGGGTAGGCTTTCCCACTTTCACTTAGAAAATTCTTGGTCAACAAAGGGTGCCTGGGAGGAAGCGGCTCCTTTGAACATGGCGAGTTATGACACAAGTGCCATTCATGGACTGGACTGACGTACAAATTGATTTCTGGAAGACTACGTGGTCCTTTGCAAAGGAGTTCAAAGGAGTGTCTTTTTTGGCGGGTTGTTGTAGCAGCGTAGCATTAATTTTTGATAATTTTTGTTTATATTGTGTTTCATGTGTGAACATTCACTTGGACTCTGTCAAGCCAACATGAGTCTTTGTGGTGTGGGTCGCAGATATTTAATATTGAACATGAATGTCCTCCTTCAAGGGGAAAGAGCTTGTCTCCATGTTCAGGGTATGGGTATGTGTGTGTGTCAAAGCTAATCAACGTTCGGTCAGCTGCATTCTTTTGGTCCCAAGAGAGGCAGTTTTCAGTGTACCGGGAGTCCCCGAAACTGGCGCCAGTTGGTTTGTTTGCAACGACGGAAGAGCGCTGGGCGATGCCAGGGGACTTGAGCCAGTTCTTGAAATCCCGCCATAGCGGACTGGAGGACGGGAAGCGCGGTGAGCCGCCGGAGCCCCCGGTGAGATCAGGGAAGGCCGGGTGGAAGTTCGAATGGCGTCCGCGTTCCGAACAACATGTAGGGGGCCCCTCTTGAGACGGAAGAATTACTGCATAGTGATTTCCAGATTCTTCACCCAAGTGCCTGCAGCTCACCTGTAGTGAAAAAAGAAACACATATATCTATATATATATATTAATAACAAAAACGGCCGAGGGTTTGCTCAAAACCTTGAGGTGAACGACGTTCTTTTGAACATTTTTGAACATATAATCTGGACTTTGGACCCCAAGCATTGACTGCTGCAAAGGATATGTGTTCTTCTTCTTCTTCTTCTCCTCCTTCTTCTTCTTTTTCCTCCATGAGTCCGACATGTCCTGATGGCAGCCCAAAATCCACAGAGTGGTTCCTAGGTTCGAGGCTTGAACGAACTTCACCCTACATCGCGGACTCCAGAATTGAGTGGTATTTGTTGGGATTGAATTCCAATTCGGATCTTAAGATTCAGTAAACTTGATTCTTCAAAAGAGACCTTTTTTCATTTTTGGTTGCTTATTTCACAAGGGGTGCCCTGTTCAAAAAGGTCACTGGTCGGGACTCCGAAAAGCTCACAAACTGAAGAAGCTGGTAATTTCAGATGTACAGATGTTTCATTGTACAGTTTTGCTTGTGAGAACATGTCAAGATGGACACCCTAAGCTCTTCTCTCAGGCACCAGGTGAATCGGATCCGCACCCCCGTGACGAGGAGCGTTCGGTCTGGCGCTACTTGTTGCAGATTGCGCTGGGTCTACAGTGGCTTCACCAGAACAGGCGCTGGGTCTAAAGTGAGACCTGAAGAGACTGATACTAGTAGCTTCTTGCTCCTAGTAGCGATGCCAGGAGCCCCTAGTAGCGTCCTTGCTCCTAGTAGTACGGCCAGGAGCCCCTAGTAGCTTCTTGCTCCCATTATGTAAAGAAAGCATTGAGCCTGTGAACAATCCTTGTTTGTTTTCAACATGTGCAAAGCTTTAAACATCTTGAAGCCGCTCAGTGAAGCCCTGTGATGATCGTCTGTCCAAATCATTCCGCTCAGCCATAGGGAGTTGTGTTGTCGAGTGTGGGGTTAAGCAACATGCAGATACTCAGATATAGAAATACAGAGAGCAAACACCCAGCTCCCCAACCACAAATGTATGTCAAACTCACCAGCACTACAGACCTGAGAGCTGCCAAGCCATCCCACCATTTGTCCAGGATCCTCCACCGCGACATCAAGGTGGGGCACCGAATGGCGCTGTGAACATCGAAATGTTTGAGTCAACTTCCAGATGGATGGAGGGAGAGTAACCCCCTTGTTTGATCCGCGGGTCATTTTGATGATGGACATTCCTTTTGTTTATTCATGTTTATTCCCTCCCTTTGATGAGGGCAGACCTTGAACGCCCCGCCACGAAAAGGGACGTCTTCCTTTCGGTACCGAAAGCGATCTCCCTACTGCCACCGCCCCTGCCACCGTGGCAGACGTTGAACGTTTTCCTGAAGACCAACGACGACGTCCGCCTGGGCGACCTGGGCGTCCGGGAGTCTCAGCGGTCCGGGAGTCTCTCGGGGCCTCCACGGTAGCGATGGTGGACGGCTGCACCTGAGATGGTTGTTCTTTTTGTTTTGCCGACCTAGTAGCAATGGCCTCCAACCTACTAGCGATGGCCTCATGTCGGAAAAAATGGCCTAGATTTTGGTGGTGGTGGTCGGAACATATACATTTTTGAATATAGTTGATCATATTTGCCTCCATGGATCCTTTGGGGGACAAAACGGATTGAGCTGAAACGAGCATCGAGCCGTGTGCATCGAAATCGTCGACGGCGTGTCGTTGGGATTCGTTTTCAGAGCGAGGTGACCATTTAGACTGTAGATTACCGGTGGACAGAAAACATGTTGACATGACTCAAGATACCCGAGACCATGGAATTTTGTTATAAACATTATCATTATCATTATATTGACCCTGTGTCAACCGCCCCACCTGATCTGTACGTAAATTTGCCGGTCCTATGGAGTGTTTGGGATCAGCAGTTTGAGTCATTTATGTTGTGAGTCTCAGTATTTCGCATCAGTTATAGTTATTTGGTATGCACGGGGAGTGTTTGGGAAAAACACCTGGGTATCGTGGGTGTAGCATGACGGTCGATGTGTCCAGTTTCCGAGCAGTAGATCTAGGGGGGTCGAGCTTGAGGATAAGACCTATACAAGGATCTGTGCGGCTCCCACTGTGTCCGAGAAAGGTGGCGCGGGTTCTCAGCGGCTCCAACTTCGCGAACACCTTCGCCTGATCCTGAGATGAGTTCAGTGCAGTGCTCGCTTGCTGTCAATACGTGAGTCCGAACCTGGTGCTGGTCCAAGCGAAGAAGTTAGAAGATGTTTCATGATCTTTCCAAAGAACTGGCCTTGACCTTCGGTCAGGTGCTCGACTCATTCTTTCATTGACCGTGTCACCTCCTTCGTATTAGGTCCACACGACACCCACAACTGGTGGATGCTGGAAGAATACGAAGATTTGTCCCTTTGGTGGTCTTGAAGGGTTGCAAGGATGTCACCTTGAAGGTGATCAAGGTGTTTCAACCACGATCCGAAGCTCAGCCCTCACCTCGCCGTTGGGGCGAAAAGCGACGGATTTCAAGCGGAGGAATCAGCACGACGGTGACTGCCGAGGTGGGTCATGTTGGAGGGTTTTGGTCGAATGGTATTTTAACCCACATCCAACTTGGCTCCACTATTTTTAACCCACGGTTTGGTGTGATCTCTTTCAGTGGAGCCCGCAACAGAGGTTTTGGTCCATTTTCCTTCGAGGAGATCGATCTGAGGGTTCCCCATCCTAAGACGAACCCATGTCTTGCTGGGCACCTTTTTGGGGGTTTAGGTACCAGGCGGTGATACAAGGCTGTAGAGGTGGAGTACTGGATGGATGAATCGAAGTTATGAGAGAGTCAGAGAGTAGGTAGGGACCATGGAGGTTTTGCTCGGTCAAAAGCCTCTCTTCTGAGGTGTCCGGTGTCCTCCATTCCGTTTCTATGATCCTTTCCATCCCGCTTCGACTGATGCAACTTGCTCCCTTCCACGTGATAAAGCTTATAGTCAAAAGCTCCGAACTTCGCATGTACAAACCTCGAAGCGACGGTGCTGCATGACCTCTGAGCGTCTGAGGTGGGTACGCCTTACTACTTGTCTCCAGAGATTTGCGAAGAGAAGCCTTACAACGAGCTGTCCGATGTGCCTCGGAGCGAACATGGGCTCCCGGCAAAACAGCCCACCTTCTTCGCTTCAAAGGAAGCACTCAAAAAAAGCAAGTGGGGATGGGGTCGTGACCCACCTGGAGCCCAGTACACCATGATACCATGGTAGGCGGCGTTTCCCACCGCCCACACCAGGTCGGTCGTGCCGGATGGGTCTTTTGGTGCAATGACCCATGACCCAAGTGAGTCTGAACACCCAGAACACTTGGTGTTGTTTCCAGAACTAAACAGGATTGTTCTTGTGCCATTTCTCAGAAGAAGATAGACTGCAACCAACCAAACTACCAAACAACCTACCAACCCCCACACACACACAGTCACAAGTTTTGGCACCACAACTTGTTGATTTGGGGTGAGTTTTTGGATGTTTTTGGAGAAGCTTCCTGTGGATTTTCGGGTGGACGCTTTGAAGGGATGAGTCCCCTTGTCAAGGCCTTTGTCATTCAAGTGGATAATGTATCTCAATCCAAGATTCAAGTTAGTTACCAAGGCGCTCCATCGTTGCTACGTCACTCCACAGCCAGTTGACCTGTTGTGGATCAAACACAACCCCACTGCCCTTCCAGCAGCTGGGATTCATACGTTCGTATCCCCTAGATTTTGACTATTCAGATCTATTCAGTAAACTCCTGCCATGTTTCCCTACACAGGCTCATACAGGCTCATCGTTCCATAGCGCCTGCAAAGTGTGTCCCTTTACATGCGCTCGCACTGATACACCGGTACACACACCGAACAGCACCGATACACCGATGGCCGACAGTTTGGGGTTTAGGTTTAGGGTGTAGGGCATCGACTGGCGTATCGTCATGGTGGAGTAGAACGCAATTCATCCGTCCAACACCAAACAGCGTACCGGCGCAATGGCGTCAGCACACTTAAGGAGACAGTTTGCAAGCACATTCCATTTGTTCACATGACTGAGAGTTGAGTGGCACCACCACAACTGGGAAGACGCAGTGCTGTTCATTTAACTGGTCCGTTCATGTCCTTTCCTTTCTCAGTCCACTTCTCTCTTCGATGAGAACCCTCTTCAGCTGCCTTTGTCCAACCAGGTCTGGGCCTTTGGATGCGTGGTCTACGAGATGTGTACCTTGAGGTGCTGAACCAACGAGACACGCTGCGTGTTGAACCAACAGAACCATCCGACGACTGACCGTTCCAGTTCGGATCGACGGGACACGCCCGAGTTAGATATAGACCCCAAGAATCCCCAAGATAGATGCTTGTAGAAAAGTAGATCCCCACTCAAAATGTCTTGGAAAACGTTTTGATCTAGTTGGAGACCACTATAGCCGTTGACATCCTCAGAACCATTGGGACAATGACTCGATGGCCTTTGCGCCGTCTCAACCGATTCCAACTGCTGGAGCATGACGGAATATAGTACATTAATTACGATACTATATATATTATACCATATTATATTGCGACAGCCACAATGACATGTCTCATATTTCTCTGTGTCGGGCGGTGTTTGGAGCCAATTCCGCGAACGGCGGAGTCAGGCACCCCTTTGAAGCGAAGAACCAAGCAGCGTTGCTCATCAAGATCTTGCGAGGGCAGCCACGTGGAATGAATGGACCGGCTGGACGCCATGGGCTGGGCTTGTTTGGCTGTCTAGGTGGTGGTTATTGGGAGAATTTGGATGTGTAACCTTTACTTGGGATGATTGAACCCACTGACCAAGTGTTAAGTGAGTTAAAATCACCAACCAGCTGTGGGTCAAAAGGACAAGACTCCGAACATAAGCTTGAGATCCAGCCATGATTTCAAGGAGACTGTTGATTCAAAAAAGGAGGCACTTGGAGATGCAAAACCATTCTGTAGGGTGGGTTTTCTTCATCACCAGCCGTTACACCCGGGAAGACAAACATGGACCCTGATGGCATGGGCCAGACTGGAAGACCATATTCCCCTCTACAACCTGACGTGGTTTTGGGATCGATAAGTGGATGGTGAGGATGAGAGGATTAATTTTTTCTTTGGAAGCCATCACCCAGACTGGAATGACCATGTTCCGAAGACCAAACAGCTGGCTTTTCATTCATTTTTCCGAAGATTTCATGTTTTTGGATTTCCAGGCAATTTCCAGGAGTGTGTAGTTCAAGACATGGGGCCTGGATGTTAATGGGGAGAACCCCTTTCTCGCCCCTCTGGCTGGGTAGACTGGTCAAATCATCCCGAACCGAATTCAGGGGGTCGTCGAACGCGGGTATAGGTCTCCTGTATTCTTGAGCTACACACCCATGTAGCCAACATAGGGGAAGCCACCAAATTGGGTTTTCATCATCTTGTTGCTTGTCCTATTCCCTGTATATCCCTTTACACCTTTGGGAGGTCCCCATATTGAAATAGCCAGGAGACAAATTGAGAAACTATCTGAATCCCGAGCCTGGCTGGGTTCTTGGCAACGAGCACTTTAAATATTATGTTATTATATATAATGTGGATCAAAAAGACAACTACTTTCGTGGGCTTGTCATGGCAGCTATACACTCCAACTCAGGTTCCACGGAAGATCGGAAGCCACCCTTTTTCGTAAAGTTAAACACATCGTGGAAGTCACCCTTTTCCACTTCCATTGTGATGCCTTCGTCTCTACCCACAGGCACACGACTGACGCAGAACTTCCGAGGTTTGCACCCATCGAGACCAGATACACGGAGGAATCGTGAGGGCGTGGGGCGGCCCTTGGAAAAAGGATGGACCACTTGAAAAAAAGCATCTGAATGATTTGTTCAACTTAAAGGCGGTGTGTGGCCTCAACACTCTTGATGTTTAAAAGCCAGTTTTGACAGTTTGTTGATTGTTGAAGGTGAACTAAGGTGAACCTTTGTTTCCCAAGGAAATTGAGGGAGTCAGTCAAAGTATGGTTGCCAAGATTCTGTGCAAGCTTAACTTGGGTCGACATGGGATTGACCAGATGTTCGGGCTTGTCCCAGCTCTGCACTCACCAAACCTACCTGAGGGCCTGCAAGTTTGACCGTGGTGCAGTCTATGATTATCAGGTTTTTTATTACTATTTTTTTTGTTATTATTATTATGTCTATGTTTTTTAAAGTATTTCCCATGTTGCAAATTGCAGCTTGCTTGCGTGTTCTGCATGCTACACTCCATGTTCTATGGCCTTTGTTGAAACAACCAATGATTTGAGTGATAGCTATACTCCAATTATACTTCTTTGGCCCCGAGGTTCTGTGGTTTTGCTTGGGCAGGAGACATTCCTGGTTGTGGGCCTGTGTCAGGACCTTCGAGAGCTCATCGATGGCTGCATGCAGAGAGAGTTTGGACCCTGTGGAAGTGAACGAGGTTTGGGAGTAGAACGGCATCCGGCCGAGGCGGAGTCTTGGCCTTTGCAAGAAAAGATGGAAGGGCTTGTTATTCAAGGGTTGCTTCCTGTTGACGGTACAGCACATGACCTAGCTTTAGATGTATATATATATATATACTCCTAAACCGCCTAAACCATCCAACGCCAGGGTCTTCGGCGGAAGTCCTTGAGACTCCAGAGTTTGTCATCAAAGTGAAACCGATCTTCACTAGGTTGGCTCAAGCGATCCATCAAGTCAGGGGTCGACGAATCAGTCAATCCCTACAGTACACTTTGGAGGAAAGGACACAATAGCTATGGCTCAAGAATAGGGTGCCATCCAATCCTACCCCGGACACATACGTGTTTGGGGACTGGTCAAAGGGTTCTACGTCGTCGACGTGCGGTCTGCGGGTTCGTGCGGGTTCCTGAGCCTTATTTTTGGAGCCACTTCGCCACATGAGGGTGTGGGAACGCTGAGGCTAGGGAAGAGGACCAAGCTCAATGATCTATTGGCAGGAGCTGCTGCCCAGTGGTGGCCACAGGAAGACCGGGAGGGGTGATGGCTGGTTGGCTCCTGGGAGTTGTTTTATTGGTTGGTTTATTGATCACTTGGTTGGTTGGTCGGTCGGTTGGTGGATCGGTTGGATCAATGTATACACTTAGAAGTTCCATCCTGGATGAGGGGCCCTTCCTGCAACCGGTTGCAACTCTTGTTTGCCAAGTGAGCAAGATGGAGGGCAAGTTTGTTTCCCCAGGTTGGCTTGCCAGCTGTGCAGTTGATCCCTTTTTTTTCGCTCATGTTTGCCACTGGTGACGCTATTAAATTTGTACTGTACAGTTTCATTCCCCTAAATATTTCCTTGCAAGCTTCAATGTGTCATGAAAGTCTTTGAATAAGCTTATCTTTGAGCGTGCGTATTTGATCATTTGCTTCTTGTTTTTGACGCAGTGTCCTCCCGAAGATCGAGTCTTAGCCTCAAGTTCAGACCTGATCCTGCGCTTGCATATCCCTTGTCCCACTGGAATCTCCCGCATGGTGTTCTCCAAGCAAACTCTGTTCCAGATCTCGGTTCAGGGCCTGCTTCAGGGATTGACCATCATCCCCCAAAACATCTCCACACGTTCCCCGGTGAAACCGCGGGCAACCTGGGGGCCGGTTCTCCACCGGACTAGTCTGTCCATGGGGTCCGGACCGGTTCGTTGAGCCTTCAACTACGTAACTACGCCCCATCATGAAAAGCACTGGAAAGGTGGGATAATCCCAAGGTGAAGAGGATCTTCCAGAGTGGAATGAAGAGGATCTTCCATACTTTTCGAAAGAGGACCCGCCAGCCTGAGCGGCTCTGCTTCGACAGACGTCTCGTCGACTCGTTGGTGCGTGCTTGCGTTTTGTGGCGAGTCGGGGACCAAACATGGCCAAAGATTTCCTTGCCTTTACCAGGGCCCCCGGTTTGGGGCGTCTAATTATAGCTCCTTAGTTGTATAAGGGGTATCCATTAACCACCCCCTAGGGGACTCTAGTAGGTGTTCATGTGGTTCATGTGTGTGTGTGTGTGTGGGTTCTTTTAGATGTGAAATGCCATAAAGCCCTAAACCCCACATATGTAGACCCCTGAATATCTATACGTATTTATATACCTTGTCTGTTTGTTTTTTTAGATCATTAGGGAATATACTATACCGTAAAGATTTTGAAGGCTATGTTCAAAGGTCCAATCTTTTGCTGGCCAAAGCTTTGCGTCCTCACCTGACCCAGAATCAAGTTCTTGTTTTCACCCCTGAAGAGCATTGTTCAGCTCGGAGATGTTCAGGTCCTGGGCGTCCCGGGTGGAGATCGCCATGCAGGAACCGTCCGGATGTGACGTGGCGGTGGGGTTTCGGTTTCGGTGTGTTCGGTGGATGGCGGATCCCAAGGGGGGGTGTGGGGGGTTGGTGGGTGCTATGTACTGTTGGCGGTCGAAAGAAACATGGCTGGACTTTCAGAGGACCAACACCACCAATCGATCATCCATGATCATCCATTCAGTGCTGGATGAGGACGAGATTTCGGTTTTCAGATTGGGTTGATGGGATTCAACCAATCTGTCAAAACAACCTGTCAAACACTCTGTGTTGACACATTCTGCCCGGCCTGGTGGTCGCGCCTATCGTGGCACCTGCGAGTCGCACCTGCGAGGAGCCGACGAAAGTCCTCCACAGGAGGCCTGAGAAGAGGTGGGGACGTCGAAGTTCTTTCAGGGTTGCCGGTGCCCGGCTGAGGACGTCTGGCATGGACTGATGGATGAGGTGGATGAGGATCACCTGGAACAGAACATCATAGATAATTCAGCCGGATTCCACGATGTTGTGGGGCGGGTCGCTTGGTTTTCAGTTGGATGCTGGGGTATGTTGAGGGGTATTGGGTTTGGGGTCATTTCCCCAGGTGCAGCTGGCGTTGTAGGGCAGTGGAACACTTGAGACTTGAGCCATTGCACATGTAAGACCCCAAAGAAGCGTGTGATGTCGCTAAGAATGTTGGAATCAGACAGAGCAACATTGAGAAGTTCTTTTTGAAGCGGACATGTACGTAAAACCCTGAAAGAGAATGCCTACCAATCCACAATAGTCCACAGACGGGTGTCAACCATGTGTTTCAGTGCCAAGAGGATCCACAAAGATCCGGCAGAGCTCCATTGTTGTGACACAAGCGGACAACCTGGGTTCACTTGTTGATGTGTCAGATGGCTTAATTAGAATGCCGCTGCAGCAACCAACTACAAGCCACTTGGTAAAGTTCTGCCCTTCAAACCTCTTGGCTGAAATTCCAAGTGGTACACTGTGACTGATGTTTCATGGAAGTGGATGGCACCTCCTGTTTGTAGAGGACAGTAGTCTATGTTAATGAGGCCCATGAGTCAGAGTGTACGTAGTTGACAGGTTACACTCTCTGAAGCAATCATGGAAGTGGAACAGTTCAGCCCCTGGAAGACAATTATCCTCTACTTCCACAAAACCTGGTCAGCTTCCACGATTCTTGGAGGGAGGGACCAAACCGGTTTGTCACACCAACCACCCTTTGGCGCTTTGGGCCTGGGAGCCAGGCTATCACCACCGACCGCCTCTGGCAGGGTCCCGGACCCCGGAGAACGGATCATCAAGCTGAAGCGAGCAAACGGATCACCAGGTGACCCTCCCGCACGTTCACAGTGGCGTGGCCTTTCCAAAGGACGACTTTTCAAAGATCCCTAAGGTCCCTAATAAGGTCCCGAACATCCCTAAGACGACTTTTGCACTCCGTGCCAGTGAGTGGGAGTAACTCCAAGGCAAACTCCACCAATCTCAGTGAGGGACAAGCACGTCTTTTTTGGGCGTTCTGTGTGAAGTTCCGCTGGAACAGCTCTAGATTCTAGATTTCGTATCTCCACACCACTTTGGTGCTACTATTATTTGCGTTGGGTATCACTCTCCGCGTGCTTCTGGAGGCCATTTTTGCCCGGTGATCACATATGCCCGCATATTTTGTGACTCTCCATACCCTTTGTCCACCTGCTGGGCTGGGAAGGGGTATTTTTCTTAGGGAGACACCCAAGCCAATGGGTGGACTGGTCTATTTGTCCTTCTTGCAGTGGTCTTTGGGATGGTCTCCTATGGATATACACACCGATATGGTATTTGCGATCAGTGTACTTGTGCACGGCAAGGAATGTCAGCCACGAATTGATCAATGAGGTGACTCTCTTCTTGATAATCCCAGACACGACCGATGGCATTTGGATTGACCCTTCTTCAACAACCCCATTGTGTATGCCAAGATGCGAGTCCCATGGAGTGTTCGGAATATCCTATGGTGTATTTTGTTGGAGCATTGCTCACTTACGTGTCTTCTCCTCAGGGTTCCGACCCCCTCGAAACAAGAGAACATATATACGTCTAGGGACAACCTAGAGTTCCAACCCATCGAAGGTCAACACCCCAAGCACCTTCTCAGAAGCCTGGAGCTCCGGGGCACCGGTGTAAATCTATTTCGATCGATTCGACCCTCACGGCGTGGACGGACCCGATAGCACAAGTGTAAACGTGTCATGACAGGGTGAGATATCGGTGTGCTTTTTAATAGGGAGACATGCAGGGACCCCGGGGTTTTGCGGCGGCCCGCGACTTGACGAATGCCCGTCTTGGGCATCACTGGGGCTCGCCAGGGAACGTGAGAACCGCGGGAAGGCTTCAACAACCAAGCTCCAGTGGACCAGCTGCCATAGACTGCAACCGCAGAGATCCACGGTGTCACAAGACGCACTGTGCATATCTCCCCTTCGACCAGTGCTTCAACCACGATCTTCGACGTTCGACGGGACAAGGCCACGCCACAAATCCCGAAAGCCGCCGCGCCGCGCTCACGGGTTCTGGACACCCAGATGGCTGGAGGAAGGGGGAGTGAGGGGAGCTCCAGGTGGATGCTGAAGACTTGCAGAGATGGCCCCTAGTAACCGGAGGTAGGGCTGTGTGAGATGTTTGATCTTATAGGTTTGTGACTGGTAGAAGTTGGATTCTGGATGATTCTGGATCCCTGGCGTGGTGAAACGATTTCTTGGAGCCGCTTCATCACATCAGCCAGCTGCTCCGGTGCTTCTTTCTTCCAATCTTGTGCAGCTCATGGCCATCAACGAGATGCCAGAAACTAGCGGCAACTCCCAAGTGGGTTGCTCTGGGTCCAGATGTGCGGAGAATCCACAGCGGAGAATCCACTGTAGTGGACCCGGAGGGTCACATACCCAGGCCACTTTATGGGAGACTGACATATTGACATACTGTAGGTGCTTCAAGGGGTCAATGTACTACATGGATTCTTGGTTATAGTCATAGGGGCACAGAGTTTTCATCCAGAGATGTTCCAGTAACAATCCTCCCTGTCCAATATTTACATACAAGCAAATGCTATGTGGGTATGTATAGCGAGGCGCCGGATGCAAATGTGTTTTGACCCCCAGAAGGTCAGAGACCTGGCGGAGAACACGAGTTTGACCGTCAGAGTCTTCATGAGACGCTCCAAGCGGTGTAGGTGTACGTAGCTCCAAGTGGGTTTGCCACAACCAGGATGTTTGGGAGCATGTGCGGGTTGGCCCAAATGGTTTGTCATATTAAACTTATCAACTCATTGGCTGTAACAGTCAGCGAAAGAAAATTGCTTTATTGGTAGTCAGGTTCCCTAGCATCAGAAATAGAATAGACATAATCAAAAACATCAACTGTTGCACATTGTTGCACAATTCAGTTTGGGAACCTACTTCAGGGCAATCAACACTGCCCGCAGGTTGACATGCTGTGGTACTGTTTTAGGGAGAGAACTCCCTAATTCATCCATGTTGGATCCTTTCGATGTCCCTGTTAACGGCTATTGAAGTCTAGACCATTGGCACACCGTCCAGTTGGAACGCTCCCTTTGCTGTACGACAGCACTGCCAGGTCCGGCAGGATCCTCGACAGAATCGCCGCGTCGAGGCTGGCGGGAAGAGCCTCCCTGGTGTTGCATTATTGGAGCAAACACAATTATAGTGGTCCTAAATAGATAGAAACGATTCCAAAATATTTTGAGAGGGGTTTTACTTTTCTAATTATTTGGGGGTCAATGAATTAATTTTATACCACTGATTTTGGCCAGCGCCTTCTGGACACGGACACGAGCACATTTTTGTGTTGATTCGAACATGGGAAGGGACCCTGCTGGCTCTTCCCATCGCAGGATGCGAAGGTCACCCTGGTGGCACCGAAAGCCAAGAGCGACCCGAGGCGACCAGGGGTTTTGCGACGCAGCGCAGCGAACGACGCAGCTCGACGCCGAAAACCCGACACCCGAAGGTCAGTGATGTTGTGGTGCCCAGGAGTCTGAGAATGTGTTTTTGTGTTTTTTGGCGCATCGAACTGGGTGATGTTCGGTATGTGCCCGAACTGGGTCAATCCGCAGGGTGAAGATTTCTTATGTGTTCTTTTTTTCCCCCCAACTAACGGTCAATCCCGGACAGCACATCCAAGTATTTGCAACGTTTGTATGTGTCTCATGTTTGGAGACATGAGACGATTGGTATTTCGTTTGGCATGGATCATATTGGCTTTGCGAACGTCCAAGAGCTTCCCGTGTCACACTGGTAGGTCCCTTGTCCGAGCCAGGCCTGTCGCCAAATGGGCACGGATTCCGACACAAGTCTTTGGTTCAAACGTCACTCTGTCCAGGAACAAGTACTGGTGATTCAAGTGAGAACCAACGAGTCAGACGGTATCATACGGTATTCACTCCCAACCTCATACCTCATCCCCTTGGTTTTGCTTAAGGTGGTTCTTTTTTATCTTGCCGAACTGGGTCAATCCCCTGGCATGGTGAATCTTCTGTTTACAAGCAAAATCCCAGAACCTCATTTCTCATCCCTCGCTCTCCACATCTTCACCAGGACCCTAGCGCCCAAAGACTCGGCGCGGTCCAAAGAAGACGAGGCGAGATTGTCGATCTGCATGGAGACAGGGTGCCAAGTCAGTCGAAGCATCAATGATGAGATGCACCAGGGAGCTTATTAAGCTTATAGCTATCAGATGCTATCAGGTTTTTAGAGGTTTTTGAAGACCCCACCCCAGGCTAGTCAGGCAAAAAACACGCTGGTTTGACGTCCCCAGTTGAGGACAAGTCCATGTTGGGTGCAGAGGCCAAGGAGCCCAAAAAGCTCTTACCTCTTTGGGTAAACACTTGAAGCACCGAAAAGTGCCAGACTAAGACATATGCTACTGATGCACCCTAGGGCTCCAAATAATACATTATCATCTAGTAATCTATTCTCCCAAACTCCGAATCTCATGGAGATATTTGGAGTGTTAGGAATTCATGGTTTGCCAACAAAGTTGCCCCTATGCATTTTATAGATCATGAGAAGATATACTGTATAGGAATTGACCCGACAGCACTTGCCCACCCTCAGGGGATGTTGTTTTTCATAGACCGGACAGCTTAACAAGAAGCACCTAACGAAGGCGATGGGGCGAAGGTTTCGATGTGGGAGAACTGAGAACTGAGTGTCCCCTGTTTTCAGCTGCCACTGCTGGAAGGTATAGTATACAGAACTTTAATTCCGGTGTGGATTTCCACTATGAAATGGTGGGCCTTAGGGCCCATATAAAGTGAATATATATTACAGATCATGGCGACCGTTGACATCAATGAAAGGCAAGTCCACAGGCATTCTTTTCGAACGTACCGTTTTGGGCGGGTATATAGGGATCGCCCAGAAACATTCCCCAAGGGTTTGTCCTAGTGCACTGGTTGCAAAAGTCAACAATTTAAACATGCAATCCTCATCCTTGATTTCCTTTTCCAATACAAGTTCTCCCACTTTGAGAACAAGTTCAACTTGTTGCCACTGCAATCCTTTGGTGAGGGCAAGCCAGATTTCAAGTCAGAGTCATCTAGAATCTTTTGATCGATCAACCGATCCCAAAGCACTGATTTCTGGTGGCCATGTGGGCCATATTCGCTGCAACATGTCCAACTGAACCTTCCAGGGACCTTCCAGTCAACATGTCCAACTCAAACTACCTTTCTCCAAACCTCTTAAGGAACTAAAAGCTGGAGAGACGGCGTCGTCTCCGGAAGCTTTGCAGCGATACGAGCCAAAAACCGAACTCGGCCAGTGGGGTCGTAGGTCGTCGGGATCCGTCGGGTCTGGAATGGGACTGGCAGATTGACTGATCAGGGGTGATGGGGGTGATGATGGGATGATGTTGTTGGTCAAATCAATTCTGTCCGTCCCATGGAGTGGCACTGGGGCTACTGGTTGCACCGGCACCCAGGCGCGAGTGCTTCACGCGGCGGAGGTTGCCGAGCTGCCGGACGTGGTCATGGTGGCGCCGCGGCCCAGGCGCGGGTCGTGTGAAGCCTGCACGAAGAGAATGAGGAGGGGGGTTGACGGTTATAATGGTTTTAAACAGTTTCTTCACTTCCATGGTGTTTCGCCATGTTCCACAGCCAGAAATTCGAGTGGGCATGAAGGCGAGAGGTGTTTGCCATCTGACCAAACAAAAGGCAATGGTGTTTGGGGGAATGGCTCTTTCCTGGACTCCCGCCAGCAAGGTGTTGTTCCAGCGTTGTTCATGATTGCTCTCTCTTCAACTGTAGTATACTGCAGGTTCAACATGGTTCAACTGTGACATGGTGTTCATGTTTAGCTTTGCGACCCTCCGACCTGCCAATCATAACATGGAATTGGGCCACCACCTGTTGAATTTAAAGGAACGATGAACCGCTCATGCCATCCGCTTCCCACGGGTGACCTCGGCCAGTCGGAACGTGGTCACGGTGGAGCTCGGGCACTTGTGGCGGACAAAGGAGACGGAGTGATCTGTGTTTTTTTCTCATCGAACGACTGGTGGGACTATGGTTTCAACTGAACTGTTCTCGTTACACCTGGAGGTAGAAGCTGATACTCAATACGTAGCAGATGTCTACCCTGTTGACGAGTTTCGGTCTGACTTGGTGAACCGATGTTCTTTTCACTTCGGTGCCGCGGAAACATCGTCGAACTGGACGTCGAACCGAGTCTTGTCTTTGTTGGTTTCTAGGAAGAGCGCGGATTTGCATGTTGGAACGGTTTAACCCATTGGATCTGGGGATTGGTCCAAGTACCCAATCATGCCCTGGTTGACATCAGGAGACAGAGCCCGTTTGTTTTTGAAACCGTGAGCCCTGGGCCAAGCAAATGGTTCATTCCTTGTTGAATCATGTGGTTTTTGTAGCCTCTGTATGGGCTGCCGGTAAATCAATCAAGCTACTGTATCTGATACATTCTATAACTTCAAGATACAAGAAACACCAGCAGCTGATATCACTTCAGAAATCGTCATTTCAAAGTAAAGATAAACATAAAAGCGGCAGAACCACCCGGCACTTGCCACTCGCCAGCCTCGCACCCAATCCTATGGATATGACCGTTGCGTTCGGCCATGTTTGTAGCACCGAGGCAACTGTTGAGCAAGGACAACTCACCCATCAAGCGGCTCCTGCAAAGGCGACGTGAGCTTCTCACCTTCTCTGTCCCCGCTGGGTAGGTAGCGGACATTTGGTAGCATCTGGTAGCTGCAAGTGATAATCCCGACTACCTATTAAAAAATGGACCCCTATTAGAAAAAAGTCATGTCGGAAACCTCTAAATACGGTTTATATTTGTTTTTAAATTACCGCCCTTTCAAGCCGCTACTAAACTACCAACATTGCCGACTTTGGAGGAGTTTTTTTTTTTTTTTTAATTAGGTTCCAAAAACAACCGTAACTGCCCACCTCTGTCCGCCCCGTCTATCCACCATGACACGCCGCGCTTACACCAGCAGGCTTTCCTTCCCCCAATGACACGGACTCACGCAAACGCACTTGCCACCGAGGTCATGCAACACCGCATGGCGCAGCGACATCACCTTTCGAAAGCTTTAGCTGTTAGTCTACTGAAGAATCACTATTCTAATGAAGGTTTTTGTAGGGGAAAAGGAAGACCCTTCGATCTGGAGCTTTTTTGCATTTTTGATTCGAGTTTAATAAAGGATTTTATATAAAGATTTTACTGATTTACTTTTTGGTTTTGAAGCTCTTCCCAGGTGACCCTATTTTGGACCCCCCGATTTCAGGGACCCCCTATTAAAAAAATGCGACCGAGGTTTCCTTATTATGGGGGGGTGGCGGGGGGGCCCGTGTTTTTTAATAGGTGGACCGGATTATGCCAGGTCGAGTTCCGAGTGGTTCTTTTTGGGGGAAGATTAGGAAAGACTCCACTCCAGCGGATGGATGTTTAGGGCAGTTTTTGGAATCCCCCTGAGATTATCATGACCATTGTCCTCTACAAACCGGTGGAAATTCCACTTCCAGAATGATTCCAGGGAGTCTAGGGCCTCTGGCATTAATTCCTCGACCACGAACCCTCCCTGAGAGAGAGGTCAGCATGGCGGGCTTGGCGGTTTCGGATGCGGTTGCTTTGCTCGGAATGATCGATCAAACAATTATATCACGAAAGGTAGCTTGAGCTACCTGAGTTCTCCTTGCTTTAGCAAAAAAGTATTACAATCAGGAGTTGGGATTGTGCATTGAATTTGGTCCTGTAAGAGTTGATTCTGTTCGTGGGGGGGGGGGGCGGCCCCCCCCCGAATCAAATCCCCCCTGCGCCGGTTCACGCCGTCATGGACTTTTACCAGGGTTGCTTGTGATTGCCTGCTACCTTTCGTTCACCCCCTCCTCTCTCAAGTAGTTAGTTAGTTCGTTTAAAAAATGCATGTTTTCTTTTTCACATCGGGTGATGTGTATTTTCCGGATACCCTTCTGGGGAATATGTACTTTTTTGGACCACAGCAAATCCAAGGAAATGTGAGGGGAACTCAGGATCACCAGTCTTTTCTTTGGGATGTGCTCTCACTTCTTGGGAAAATCTCCCTGCAGATTCACATGGAACCCCACATGTAGAGGAAAATTGTCTTCTATGGGTCAAGTCAAGTCTCAGGGTCCATGTTAGTCTGGGGTAACCTGGTTGAGTTCAGTTCCCGTTGTAGTTCTTAGCAGGGTGGTTGGGACAGCCAATATGTCGAATCATGTGCAAAAAACAGGCTCCCCAAAATGCTTGAAGATCGAAGATGCGAGTTAATGGTTGTTCATGAGACTTGTCCTTTGTATCATGAGAATTGTCCTTTTTTCCTCTGTGAAAGTAAGAATTTGGGTATTATATACTGTGTGTTGTTGTTTGCGGATACCAATGTTTTGAAAAGCCGCCAGCAGATAACTTGCCTTGATTCCCTGTGGTTACACCAATATGTCAATAGTGATCGACTTGTGACTTGCCTTGGTCCCATAGACTAACCAGGGGCGGCTTGCCCCTCATTCGAACCAGAGGTGTCTTGCCCCTCATTACTTGCCCTTCCCTTGATTCCCTGTGGTGATTATGTCGATATTCAAAAGTGATCGACTGGTAACTTGCCTTCATCCCATAGACTAACCAGAGGTGGCTTGCCCTCAATCCATACATCAGAATCTGCAACTCGTTCCCACTAACTTAGTTTTTGAGTGCTAAGAATTAATCAATCCTGTGTGGCCTTTTCAACAAGTGGCCTCAAAACCACAGATGCACACTGGACCTGCCGGAAAAATGCAAACATGATCAAAAAGGCTTTAATACTCATATCTTCTGAAGTTGGAATGAATCGTATTTGCAACCCTGAGGAAAAATTTCGGAAACAGCCCAAGTGGCTTGCCCTTGCAAAATCAGAGTGGCTTGCCCTCTGATTGAAAAAGGCTTCGTTCGTAGCGGCTTGCCCATGTCCAGGGTGGTTGTCAGAAAAAGGGACTGCAAAGCAGGTGCCCTTACCAAAACATGTTCCTGATCTTCTTTCAAGTATTGATTCATAGAGGCTTGCCTTTGAATGAGGTGGCTTGTTTCTAAAATAACTATATCATGCAAATGCCATTACTGTGTAGTGTAACACAAAGGTTAACACAACATTACTGTTGAAAAATATGCGTGGAAAAATATGGATTGGTGGCCCATTGGGCCACATATCAGATCATGATGGCACAGTTATTGATGGCCCATTGAGTCACATATCAGATCATGATGCCCACTTGCCACCAAGTTTTTTGAACGCGTACTGCAGGAGCACAGCCACAGCAACAGAACAGTGCCGGCCTTCCTGGGAGACAATGCCGATGGGGTAGGCTTGACAGGCTGCGATCCAGTCCAGGAACCGAACAATCAGGTCATTGAAGGCATTGTCCTCTTGCACCTGGCGAAGAATGTTCCTGTGGAAGCCAGGGTGGGTGGCAAGGTCACCAGCCTCCTTGGCCAGGACACAGCAGTCCAGCGCATAGGCAAAGTCTGTGCAAGCGTCCCAGACTTGCCCCTCATTCAGGCTGGTGCCTGGACATGGCTTTTGGCAAGGAGTCTTGTCCACATTCATGGGTTCAATTCTGCCTTGGTCTCTGTAGCTGCGTTGGCTTTGGAGGGATGGCCGCAGCCAGAGAGGTTGAAGATGAAAGCCTGGAAGTTGCCTGGCAACCAGAAGTTGGACACTGGACCTTTGTGGGCCTTGACCCCATAGACTAACCAGAGGTGGCTTGCCCGTCATTCCAGCCAGAAGTGGCTTGCCCTCGTTCTAACGAGAGGTGGCTTGCCCCTCATTCCAGCGAGAGGTGGCTTGCCCTTCATTCCATACATCAGAGTTTGCGACTTGTTCCCACTAATTTCGTTTTTTGTACCAAGAATTAATCAATCCTGTGTGGCCATTTCAACAAGTGGCCCAAAAGCCACAGATGCACACTGGGCCTGCTGAAGCAAACAAATTTTGAGCAACACTTTAAACTGGAATGATTCACATGAATCACAGCACTGTATTTGCAATAAAGTTTTTAAAGCAAGTGACTGGCCCTTGCAAAATCATAGTGGCTTGCCCTCTGATTGAAGAATGTTTTGCTCATAGCGGTTTGCCCATGTCCAGGGAAGTTATTGACAAAAGGACTGCGAAGCAAGTGCCCTTACCAATTCAAGAAACATGCCTTGGGTGCGAGCTTGGGCGCTGGTGCCGCTGCAGGGTCCGCTTGGGAGCTTGGGCGCTGGTGCTGTTGCAGGTTGCCGCTGCTGCGTGCTTTGGCGCTGGTGCCGCGGCTGTGTGCGCTTGGGAGCTTGGGTGCTGGTGCCGGGGCAGGGTTCCACTGCTGTGTGCGTTTGGGATGTGTCGCTTGCAGAGGGGCGTTTGGATCATAGTGGCCGGTGTTTGCCCCAATGATTGGAGCAGTGCTTGGGACCTTTTGTGCGGTGCTGGCTTCCGATGTTTTTGCACTGCCTGTTTCCAACAGAAGCAGCGGCACATGAAGAGTATCAACGCTTCTTTGATGTCGATGCTGGCAGCTTGGCAGGTCCAGAGGAAGCTCCGCAGTACTTGGCCCTTCCAGTGGAACGCGTGTCGTGTGTTGAGCTCTAAAATTCTTGGAGCCGTTCTTTGTTTGGCCAAGCGTGGCTTTGCAGAACAGCTACGGATTTTTGCGCTGCTAAAACAGGTCTTTTCGAGTGCCACGGCCCGCCAGAACCTCCTTCAAGATGCAGCTTTTTCTTGTTGCGCGCGCGGGCGACATCAAGATCCTGGACTGGAGCGGCGGCTTCTCACCTGATTGTGGGAATTGCTGCCTGCCGCCAAGGGCGTTTCATTGCGCGCCGGCTGAGCGGAAGCAAGTTGTATGAAACTGGGCAGCAGGGAACCTTCGCAGATGGTGAACTGCCATGTGATGGCTTTCTATGTGGGAGCAGTGGGCGCAGCCGCCGAGGCCAATGTGGCGGCGCCTGTCATGGAACAGATTTCGTTGCGCCACACAGATGACGATCGAAGACTGTGCAGCCCAGTTCAACTTGGTTTGCGCGCGCCTGACTGAAGCATGCAGGCTGTGACAAGACCAACAGGGCATAAGCCTTTTGGCTAGAGCGCCCTTTCGAAGCTGTCAGTTTGCCACAGGTGACAAGTCATTCGTTTCGAAGCGCTTTGTTTTTGCGCACGAGGTTTGAAGTATTGTGAAATATCTTGTCGGTTCATGTTGCGCATGGTGCGCGCGCATCCATGGCTGGGAAGTAGGCCGGCTGGTGCTGATGCTGCTGCTGTGTGCGCTGGTGCCGCTGCAGGGTGTCGGTGCTGTGTGTACTTGGGAGCTTGGGTGTTGGTGCCGCTGCAGGGTGCTGCTACCGTGTCCGCTTGGCAGCTTGGGTGCTGGCGCTGCTGCATTGGCTGTGTGCCGCTGCAGCTGCGGAGTGCGGCTGCAGGGTGCCGCCTGTTGTTTTGCTATTTGGTGTCTATGCTGGCGTATTTTTCGTCACCACCACCACCAGCAACAGCACCAGCACCCGCACCCCCCCGACCAGCACCACCAGCAGCACCAGCGCCTGCACCCGCACCCACCACCTGCACCCGCACCAGCACCCGTCCAAAAAAAGTCGGCATATCACAGCGGATCATCGTGCCAATCTCTGAGACTGGAATTCTTCTTGCACACTCCACTTTGACCTGCCCGCCCCGCGCAACGGACGAAGCATGACGGGCAGGAACGGCGGAAGCATGACGCAGGCCCGGGGACTCGTCCGGTCTTCTTCGTGAGTGGGTTGAAAGGAAAAAAATAAAAATATCCTCCTGCAGAGGGCCACATGGACAATTGGGTGGTAGAGGAAAAGGGTCTTTTATAAGTCAATATTCAGGGTTCATGGGATCGTGCAGGGGGGGTATCCCAGACACTCTCCATGGGACCCCAGCCGATGAAACCTGAAAGTGGGGTGGAGGGAGGGTGGGAACGGTCTCCTGAGATCGGGACCATACAGTGGATGACCTTTCGTGGCCTTGGTTGGTTGATTCATGGAGGGGAACCCCCTGTTCGTGTACAACTTGTAGGTACTTCTGTATGTTGTACCTGGCATCATCTGGCATTTGCTCCTCTATTGTTTTCACGACATCATTGATCTGGGCTGCCCCGAAGTTTCTCAATGACAACGTGGCGGCCGGGCCGGTGGAGGAAAGGTGATCCCAGGTTTCTTCGGTTTGGGTTATTTTGACATGTTGGGGACTGACTGCTGGCTGGCTAGGTGGGATGCAACGATTCATCAACCAGTAGGAAAAGACAAGAGAAAGGTGTTGATGCTTTCTCTCTTCGCTTCGCACAGAGAGATAGCTAGCATGTTTTTTGTGTTTTTGTGAGCCATACACCACCTAATTTACATCCACCTGGGAGGATTGGGGAGGAAAATGACACATTCAGACCCACCCCGCAGTTGCTTGGTGGCGAAGTTTACGCAGTCTGGCGATCCCTCATGTCAAGTCTCTCTCCAACTCAGAGTGACTTTGATCACCCATGAGGCTGCCTTGCAAGACATCCAAGAGGAGGAGGCTTCGGCTGCACGTGTAGGCTGTGTGCTATGCCTAGGCCTAGGAGCTTGCATGTGGAAGATGATGCTGGGTGGATTGCACAAACTGAAGAAGAGACTCATGACATCCATGTGATCAAAGGGCATTGCTACTAGGAGCAAGAAGCTACTAGTAGCTCCGGGCCATACTGCTAGTAACAAGAAGCTACTAAGAACAAAGGGCATCCATGTGATCTATGTCATCATCCACATGATTGATCCTTTGGGGCATCCATGGCATCTCATCGTCCATATTTGTTCCTCTCATCTCGTGAGGATTCACAGGATTCGCACGGGGGGAATGAAGATGCCAAGGGTTTTTGAAGTGTTTCAGGGTGTTGATGAATCCCAAAGACTCCATGGGACTGCCACAAAAACTCCATACATTGAGGTGGTTGATTTCCGGGTCAATGTAGGCATAGACCTGCGGGCCCCGAGCATTGTGTGGCAAAGTAGTTGTAAGCATATACAGTATATATATATATAATCATCCTCGAGTAGATAGAATACGGAATTGAGCCGCCAACGTACCTTCCGTCATTTCAATTTCATATTCTAAGTACCTCGTTTTGACCCCCCCAAAAAAGTACATAGAATATCTCCGAGCGGATCAAACGAGTACTTGGAATATCGTGGAATGGTCTGTGGAAGATAGGGGGCATAGGGGAGAAGATGGGAGAAGGAAAAGGGACATAGGATGCGAGCTCGCGCGCGCGCGCGGGTGTTTCGATTCGAGGCACGCGGGTGTTTTGATATAACCATCCTGAAGATGCTTTTGGGACCCCGATATTCCATGTATTATTATTTTTTTTAGTGCCGCGGGATTGAGTTGTACCAAAATTCTATGTACTTCAGGATGGTTATAAATATATATATATATGGGACTGTAATAGATAGATAGATAGATAGATAGATAGATAGATAGATAGATAGACAGATAGATAGATAGATAGATAGATATACATGTTGTAATATGGGGACTGTATAAGTAATGGGACTATATTGGGACTTGTATATATACCTTAAAATTTCCAGCATATATAGAATATATATATATATATATAAATTCCAGTCCCATTATATAATCATATCTGAGTAGATGGGAGATCTCCTGGCCCTGGCTGGGTAGACTGGTCTATTTCCCGAACCTTCCAGAGGGTCGTTGCCTGGTCTACCTATTTTAGTACACACCCACATGTTCATATAGGAGATCTTCCACATAATACACACCCCTCTGACTCTATTCCATACATGGAGTGTTTGGGTTTAGATCCTATCCTTTTCGGCTACGCGTTCGGCCGCTCCGATCTGGGGCCGGGCGTTCTGCGAGACTTTTCGGCGAGGTCACCCTACGCCCGGGCTTTCCGGCCTTTCCAACACAGGAGAGGTTTGGTTTTTGGGTTTTGGACATTGACCCCCTGAAATCTCACGAATCATGGAAGTGAATAAAAAGTGACACATGGTTGGGAGACGACTGAAAGGAAGGTAGGAAGGTCCAATCTCATCTTGATCCGGATTCTGATTGATGGGATTGCTTTGATCGGGCTTTTATTCCTCGAGTATCTTGAATGAGTCGCTGATCGTATATGGTCGTATGATGTTCTTCAACTGACTTATATCATGTTAAATGTGTGATAATGGGCTATGAGTGATATAGTTCCGGATTGCGGATTGAAGTAAGTATTGCAGTAAATTAAACGAGCCCACCCAAAGTGAAAATCAGCTCAAACCATGTCTAACACTCTCAATGGCTACAAAAGCAAACATCATCCGCTGCAGCGCGAACCACATACACCACTTTGAGGCGTTGCGAGTTGTGCGTTCTGTCGGTCACTCCTGTCGGTTTGGGAGGGTCCAGGCGCAAAGCCGGACGTTCATTGCTCTCCTACAGTGGGCCATCAGAGGCGGCACTGGCACCCCAAGATGTCCTAGACAGATGAGGGTCCATATAACCTAAACTTGGGGACGGTGCCATCTACTTGGAACCCACTGTAGATACTCTCAACAGCCACACAGTTCTCTTGCGACCATCCGTGCATTGGCACGAATGTGCGACTCCTTGTCCAAGTCGCGGACGGCATGTTCTCCACGATGACCCTCCGGGGGGTCCGACGTGTGGCGTCGTGTGGTGCCGGTCAGAACCGCCGTCACACTCGGCCCTCACATGAAGCGTCCTTTCCCCAGAGAGGGGATTTATTTTCAGCTCGGCCCCTTAGCCTTTTCGATCACAACTTATTTAGCGAGCTAAAGTATATCGCTGCTTGAAACAAAGGTTGGTGTTGATGCAACATGTTCGTAGATTCACCCGGTGGCTCCATCACAGTCATGCTTCGTGCCAAAGTATGACTATCACAACTCCAAAGAGAGCTGGGGTGTTTCGCAGGAGCTCTGATGATGATATATGCAGCAAGTGTTTTGGGTGGTTCAGATAGTGATGACACATCATCAGTGCTTAAACAAATATACAAGTTAAAGAAACACTTCTCACGACGAGTCTACAACATGTTCGCTCTCCCTCTTTGCGCCCAAGCACGCCGCGCACGGTGTCTACTCAGCGGGTCCGCCCGAGGAGGACGTGGAGGCGGAGATCGCCGAGGAGATCGAGGAAGGCGGGTCCCACTGCGCCGTCCCAATTGGGGGGGTCCAACCTGTTGCGACGAGTGAAGCAGTTGGAGCAGTGGTCACCACACCCGTGGTTTGGAGCATGGGCGGGGAACCAAGCAAGAGGAGGAATGAGCCAACTGATGCTTGGAGGGTTTTGCTGATTCTCAGACACACTGTTCTTGGAGATGTTTGAATCTCAATATCTCCTCATCTCCTCACCTTGTGGCCACTCTACACCCTCTCCGACCAGGGGCCGACCACGAGGGAGACGATGCGGAGTTGACGGCTCGGAGCGCCTTTGAGGCTGCGGAAACCGACGTGTTCGGTGGGTCCGACGTGTTCGGAGGGTCCCCCTCAATCCAAACACGACCGGTCTGGCATTGCCAGCTGTTTGCATCGAGGGGCATGGATGATTTCGTCCATTGCAAGCTGCCGTTCGGAGTGGGGCGGCAGCTTGTGTTTGGTTCTCGGTCGTGGGTTCAAAGGGATGGTCATCCAAGTCATACGTATATATACACAAGAGAAAGAATAGAGAAAACATGGGCCTTTGCAAGATTTGCTAAGGGTAGGTTGATCGTCCACGTAAGGACTTTTGAGCATGCCACACCAATTAGACAACACTGGTATACACATGACATGTATACACTAGTATCATGCGATGCAAGTCCCGAGTTTCCAGTTTATGCCCTTTGAACATTGGACTGACCCCCTTCCCCCCAAAATGCAGTTGTGTACCCATTTTGGGCACGGTACTTGTTCAGAGTGCAACTCGAGCTTCAGACTCGCACAAATGGCACTCGGTCGGATGTGTAATCTTCAGGATTCGTTGATGTACACCAGCAGCACGCTGGCAGCGAGTTCCACACTCAGCTGAGCCAAAAGGCGTTACCAGGACCAGTGTGGACATGTGCGGACTCAATGGTTGAGAATGTCTTCATAAGTTTTCGAGTTCTGGCATGAAAGTGTGCCAAGAACCCACTTAGACACGACTAGTTACTGGGAATGGAATATATGCCTACATTGACCCCGGAAATCACCCACCCCATGGAGTCTACATGGAGGTCCAATGGAGTGCATTGTGATATGTTTCTACTGCCGCCGGCCTTGTCACTTGGCTGGCTGACGGACTGTCCACCATCCAAACACCGTTCAAAGGCTTTGTCTTTTTGGTCACACCAATTCACATCAAAATATAAGTAGATTAAGAGCACCTCTGATGCTTGACGTAGCAATGGGTTTGTTTGACTCTTCTCTTCCTCGTCCACTTACTTGGTAACTTGGTAGAGGAGAAGGCAAAGTCACGAGGCGCCGAATTACTTTAGTTTTAGGCAAGAGAACGGCAGGAATGAGCGGTAGACAAATAGAATCGAAGATAAACATAATTGATGCACGTGTTCTTTTTATTCAGGTTCTGTGATAGATGCTGAAGAGCTTTCACATGTCTTGGAGTGATGCTCAGAGTTTGGCGTAATAATAGGTGGCCTCTTGTGCAGATGCTGCAGACCTCGATTCTGCTGGCTGAGGTCGCATCGGGCCGGAGCATGAACAGGAGGAGAGCGAAGAGCTTGGCTCTGGGTGGGGAGTGTTGACATGACGGCAGATGCAGACTCATTCTTGTCAATTTTCTTCATACAACTCATGACCAATGGTATATAGGTATTGTGTGCTCATGATTGTAAAGGAAAATCATAAATGATATACACAAAACATTTCCTAATATACACATTGATGTTTGTGGACAACTTGCGGTGACTTGCAGAACATGCACGATGTCCATACTGTGGCTACTATGGGAAGACCAGAAGATGCTGGAGACCATCCGAATAGAATGCACAATTTGGAAGAGCAGTTCGGGAGTATTTCGTGGTAACTCGGCATGTGTTCAACCTCTACTTGGGATGATTGAAGCCACTGATTCATTTTTTTTGTTCGTAAGTTGAATTCAGAAATATCGGAAATATGTCAAGGAAATTTGGGTAAGCAGCTTCGCTTGCCAGGACCACCCGGACGAGCCAGAGATGACCACTGAGATTGATGGCCTTCTTTGTGACACCTGGCGGACGCTCAAGCTCGAGGAAGTAATGCACAAGCTCGGGCCAGTTTGGGGTTTTACAGGTTGTTTTCTTTTTGAGATCTCTTCTTCGCTGCTCTTTTCTTCAGGACGAGGCAGTGCACCAGGCCGATGAGGCCTTTTCCACGGTCGCGGAGGCCGTGGAGGCTGCGGAGGCGGAAGTGGAGGAGAAGATTTCCGAGGAACTTCAGGAGGAGAGCTGGATGGCCCTGTCCAACGGGAGCGCGCTTCAGAAAGCGACGCGACGTGACGTCTGCTTTAGGAGCGAGCGAGTGATAGGAAGATGGTGGGGATAGATTGAGGGTACTGTACACATCGGATTCTTTGGTTTTGCGAGTACCAGGACCCAAGGGAGTTGGCTGGTGAATGGACACCCTCTAACTTTAGAGGGCCCTGTTATTTTTTAAATATATATTTTATATGGGAGTCGTCCTAAAACCCACATAACAGAATTTAGTAGCACGACGTTTTTCATTGATATGTATATATATATATATATGCATGTATATCTCTTTGTGGCCAGGACACGCCAGCACCCGCTCCAACGGGAGCGCCGCCCTCCGCGCCGCTGGCGCATGAGCCCAGCCCCGACGCACAAGTGGCGCGGCTCACAGCGCAGATCCAGCGGTTGTGCCCTAGAGTGGCTGCGGGTTGGGTTGGCGGTGGAGTCTCACGTGTGGGGGAGGTGGAGTCTCACGTGTAAGTCGTTTCTCATACTTGGAAGCGAGGAAAGTAATTGGCCAATCTATTTGGAATGCCCATGTAAGTCTGCAGAACTTCTGATTGGCTCGCTTCCAAGTGTTGCACGACTTGGGTGATGTGCTTTGGAATTTCGTGGAACATGGCCACCCAGAAGGCAATCTTCTACAAACTGTTCTTGCCCAGAGTTCTTTTGTTACTTGTTTAGTCTATGTTAGTTTTAATCGATGTTTTAACATATGTTTGGTGATCACTGCGCAGCTTGCCAATTTGTCACGCAATCACATGCTGCTTCTTTTTCCTTGGTCCTGTGGTGTTCTATGTGGTGGGAAAAGTGAGAGTCACAGGCAGGACTGCCAATGTATACAGGCAACTGAACACATGGGCATAGCGACCTCCCAGGCAACGATTCCCTGGAGGGTTCGGGGACCAGTCAACCCCAGCCAGGGCCAGGGGTCTCCCTATCAAGTTCAACACACCCAGATGTTTTAATCCTTCATGTGGGCCTGGGTGGTTCTTCCTTGGAGTCTTTGCGTTTGATCTACTATATATCCAAGTCCTGGGCAAGTTACATTGTCGAGTGACTCTGAAGCTGTCCATCATGATTCTACTCTAGGATCATTCGCTTTACATCGGATGTTTGATACTAACATCGATCGACCTCCAACGTCACATCATTTCAGTTCGGCAGCTTTGGCTTATAGCAAGTCGTTGGAAGGCTGCGAATACTGGGGTCGAACTCTTTCTTGATGGTCCGAGCCAGGGAGTCCAGATGTCACCAGATACCCGTCTTGAGTGGCTCCAGAAAACTGACCAGAAACACAAGTAGAATAGGATCTTTTGACAAAGTATCTATTACAGAAAAAAAACTGACTGGAAAAGGATCTCCTGATCAATGTCCAAAGTATCTGCTTCAGACGACGTACGATCGAATTCTTTGCCTACTTTCCAGGTACGCTGATGTGGTGAGGGACCTGGACCGTCCAGCGCGGAAGGTTTGGGATGAACTCTACGCCTTGTTCCAGGCCGCCTTCAGAGACGCATGGGAGCGGGGCTCCAGCCCTGGAGCTCTCGCTCCGGGAAGTAGAGACGCTTTGGAGAAATCGCCTGGAACACAAGAATACCAGAGAATACCAGGATACATCCCCGATGTAGATCTATCTATTTACTGTTACGGTGCTGACACCATGTGGTGTCCCGCCGTCCTCCAGGAGAAGATGCGCGTCGACCTCACGGACGAGGATAGGATGAGCAGTATTCGACGGCAAACAAAGGGTTGACTGGGCCTGGGTTGGTACAGAGCACGCACAACTAAGTCACACAATGTCACATAAGATTTGGGCCCAACACCGACCAGTGGGTAATTCTGTTGTGACTTGAGTTGGGATTCGGAATCATGGCTTTGCTGAGGCTGATTTGTGGGACCACTGGAACTCCTTTGGTGCGTCTCACGAGCTCAATAATATATGCACACACAATCAGACCAGGGACTCGCAGATCTTCATTTGTTTGATTGACGTGGACATTCGGAAGGAAGGTACAGTGTTCTTGAGCCAAGTTTCGAGTTTGCAAGACTCGCGCACCCGCTAGATTTGACAGGACCAGAGCGAGATTGAAACATTCATATTCGAGAACCTGCCGACAGAAAGCCTGAGCCTCAGCTGGTTTGCTCCGGAGTCAAACGGAACATGTTGGTGATCAATCACTCACCCAGAGTTTGGATTCCGCTTCCTTCAATTGGATCGTCTTCAACCTTATCGGTTGCATTTGTACTCAGCGGCCATCAGTATCCCCAAACCACCGGGCTTTCTTCTGGGATCTCCGAACAAAGAGGTGTGTAATTTAATAGGGAGATAGCCCAACCAATGGGAGATATCGTGTCTATCTAAGATAGCCAAAGCAATGGGTGGACTGGTGCTTCTTCCTTCGAACTGAGAGGTCTTCCTATTTCGACGCACACTGAGCTCATGGATTCGAACGGGGCCGTCGTTCGAGGCACTGAGCTCATCTGGAAGGTCTACAAGGCAGGCCCAGACGGCCGAAGCAGCGCGAAGCAGCGGCCTGTGGAGCTTCCAAGGTCTCCAAATGGAGATTGATAGTGACTTCAGGCGGGTGATCCATGAAGGAACCCCCCTTGGATAGTCAAAGAGTCTGGTTTGGCCACCATGTCAGGTGTAGAAACCAGGCGAAGGTCTTTGGGCAGCATGGGCTTAGCCCTTGGACTCTTGGTGCAACAGCGGATGATCCCCTGATCGTTGTGGGAGGTCGACATTCACTCGAGCAAAGCCGCAGTTTCCTCCGATGCTCCGATTCCTGTGATCCAGGGGAGAAGCACCCAGATTTGGGAGTTTGACTTCAACAAATCGCTTTAATATGTGGACTATCCACTGAGTGGGTGATCCTAGCTGATCCCCTACCTGATCCTGAGCTTTGGAATGCACCAATGGGGTGAGCCTCCAACGTGGTTACGAACCCTGGCACGTTTGTTTTTATCCAATATCAATAGGAGCCGGGAGGATACCCCAAATCAATAATAGGAGCTTCTGACTTGGAGGAATGAATCTCCTACAGACAGAATCAATTCTGACATATCTTGGAAGATATATACTGATATATATATATATGTATATATTGTTATATATATATATATTGGGAGTCCGGGGACCAATACTGATAGGAGCTTCTCCACTCAGATCTTGAACCAATCGCAGAGATCTTTAGAACTCATGTCGGACGCACATCCCGGCACATCCTAGTTGAATCCTCGCTGATCCAGGTCCTTCACTTGGAGCAAGAGAGAGACCGCTGGCAAAAGTTTGTCACCAAAAAGTGCAGACTTGAATTTGTTCTGAGGGACGCGTTAAACTACTATGGTACCTTTACCAAGGATGCAAAGAATGGATATGGTACCTTGGTACCTTTTGCAACTATGGTACCAAAGATGCCTAAACTATGGCACCTTTGGCAAGAGTTCAGACAGGTTCTTGAAAGTGACTCTGAAGGACACCACGCACCAGATGTCACTACAAACCCTAGAGGTCATGAGTCATGAGTCTACGACGGGAACATCACCAATCTCATGTTTTTCTTCTGCCCAAAGGCTGACAAGCCTTAGGACAATTAGAGGCATACTCAATCCAGTAGGATGCAGGAACAACTGTGTTCATGTTGTTTCCTATGTGTTCTGTCATGTTCTTTGTATGGAGATGACCATTTGATGGTGCATTGTTGCATTCTTAAGGCCTCGAGTCGGATGGTGACGCATGGTCTATCCAGGATATTCTCAAATCTCGTGGAGAGTTGCCATGGTCGACCTGGGCTGGTTGCGATGAAATACATTGAATTTGATTCACTTGGATGGGTGGTAGAAGGGAATCACGCAAAGTGGATTAAACAATTCACGTTGATTCGCTTGAATTTAACATCATTTAACTTGTCTTTGATTTACTTCTGATCCTATACTATGCATAATTCTTGCATAGATGATCAAAATTGGATCCCCGCGACAGTAGTGTTCATATTGGGAGGTGAACCAAGCCAGGTCTCTTGTCCAACACCCCAAACATCATTTACGGATTGTGAAGTAAGTAAGGAAGGACATACCTGCGAAAGCGAGAGTGCCGGTGGATCCAGTGCTTGAACCATGGTTGAATTTGAAGCAGCATTGTACTTGTCCCCTTGGATTTCAACCACTATTATATAACTATTGCTTTAACTTGTTGACTCCCGAACAACATCTAACAACCATGCTCCATGTTTTGTTTAAAGACTTTACAATGTAGATGTACAAGCTTAACCATTGTTTGGATGGTCGAACGAAAGGCAAATTACTGTAGGGGGTCAGTGCATCCCAGTCTTGATGATTGCCCAATCGTTGCTTTCAGCTCGAGCCAAAGCAACTACACCCACCGTCACGAAAACCGCTCCCTGTCCCTTCACTGAACTTCAACCGCCACGACCACCGTGAGTGGGGGCGCCTGGAATAATGAGGAAGGATGATGTAATGATGTATGTGGACCTATCTTCTGCGGACGGTCAAGCTATCCCGTAAAACATTTCATGGTCTCCTGCCCAGGGGGGCGTGGGGGTTGGATTTAAAGGCAGGACATTGCATCGTGCCTATTGGACCACCCCAAGTCCAAGGGCTTCGTCGTGGGGTACCCGTGTATTTCTCCAAGTGATTTGGTCACTAGCCACACTTCAGGGATCGAGATTTCCATGACCTGCCTTGCAGATGGACCTAGCAAAACGATGACCAGCCGCGAAAAGGGCTGAGAAACCCAAGGCTGGCTCCCTCAAAAAAGCACAAGGGAATCTGATATGGTATTTGAAGAAGCCATGTTCCATGCATGATTGTCATAAACCAGACACTCCATGTATAGACTATCATTGACCCCTTTTCAACCACCCCAATGTCTGCAAGTATGACAGTCCCAGACAGGCCGTGTCTGGGCAATGGGATGATGGGCTTTTCAGGACGATGGCCCCCATCAAGTTTGGGGTTGGACACCTTCGGGTGCTTTGACGTCCTTTTCAAGCATGGGGCTTTGGGATGCTTTGGGATGCTTTGGCCAAACCTGGAAGGAACATGGACCAACCATGTTGGGCCATTCATTTCAGGCCTTGACTCACTTAGGGCCTTTGGGGACGCTCACCATGTCAGGCATGAAGGGGGTTCCGCTCGCACAAATTCTTCCCCCCGCCCAAACAAAGAAACAAGCACGGATCCCGGATGCGAGCACCTCGATCAACACCGGGCCTTAACAAGTACTACAGTGCTAAAGTACTAGAACCCCAAATGTGACTTCACTGTTTGGTGAAAAAGCTCCACTTTCCACTCGAGCCAACGGGTCCAGCGGTCGGCTTTCTCCGTCGAGCGCCTCGTCGGCACCGAGCAGCGCATGTCCTCGCGGGTGCGATTTCTCAGCGCAATCCAGGCTGCGGGGCCACCGGGAATTGCACCAAACCGCTCGGCACCTCAGTTCGGGGATCGGAAAGGAGAGCTCTTGACGAAGAAAAATACGCCGGATTTATGTTGGGGTGTTTCTTTTGGTAGATTTTTGTTGTTTTTCGTTCACGGAAGCATCCCAAGCGAGAGGCAGGTACGGCAAAGAGATGCAGAGAGTATAGAGACTGCATGCATTCTAATTAACTTCTTTTGTTTGTTATTGAGATGTGTTTGCCAGATGAAAGATGTATGTTAGAGGGTATATGGGCTCATTAGGGCTCCCTTGAAGGACCTGCAAATGGTGCAAAGCGATGGGTAGCCTCACCGTGTGCTTGCCATCGGCATGAAGTCGAGAACTGGTGGAAGCCATTCTGGATATTCTCATACTGCAATCAGACAAAGTCCAAACCATCTCAACACCACTGATCCTATACTGATCCTTCAGAAGATTGCAACTCTTCTTTTTCACAGCCTCTGGCCACTCTGGCTCTCGCATGTCTATTGTATGAGTTGGAAGAAACTCTAGGCACATGCAGTGAACTCAGTGAACCTCTGAACATGTAAAACAACGCCAACGCTCCAAACGGCCCCCCCAAACGGCTCCAACGCTCCCAGTCCCTGGCCGATCGCAAGGTATACTTCTTCAGCACGTCGACGCTCAGACTGGAACCGGCGGACCGGAATGAGGACACCGACTCGCCGAACTGGACCCCCCCGCCCAGGTGGGAAGTACGTGGATCACCTGCAGGTGCTTCTTCCTTATCTTGGTTTTGGAAGATCTGAGACACCCCAGTATAGGTCAATGATGTTCAATGATGTTCAATGAAGTTTTGTTGACCTTTCAGGTTCCAGGGAAAATTAGGCGACCCCTCTTGTCGTGGATTGGGTCACTTGCAAAAGGGCAACCAAAAGCCGACCCTGGTTGATGTAGCTTCGACAATGATTCGACGGTACGGACTGCAGCATGGTGGACCAGCTTCTAGTGGGGTGTTCCGAACCTCGTGGTGTCCGTTGGTGGCCAAAGTGTACCATACTGGCCCATGGGGCCCATGATGGTCTCCTCCGCCCTGTTGGGTTGTGGGGTGGCAACATGTGGTAACTCACCTGAGGTCGCTGCAGATCTCTATATACTGCGAGGTGTTGGATGGCATACATGATGGCATGACAGGACTCTGGGGAGAAGCAGGGAAGGTATCACAGGACACACATTGTTTCGTCGGTCCTTGAACAAACGGACTGTCAATGGGGAAGGCCGCAGAGCTCTCAACCCTGCTTCCTACCCAGTCAGTTCCCTTCTCAAAAAGAAGAAGCAGGAACTGTCAATGTCACACACCTTCCAATCTGAGGAAACAAGAAAGAATGTGTCTTGTTATGTCTTGTTTCAGAAGAAGGAAGTTCTTAATCCTTATAGTTTCACACATAAACCGTCCTGGACGCTTGCGGCGTCCTGGCCCCTATTCTCAACCCATCCTCCGAGGTAAAGCACGTTTTCAGCGACCAAATGTGCCTCAGCGGCCGTCCGTTTCTTCTGGGCACGGGACGGTCCGAGGGATCTCCGGATGATCCGAGGGATCTCTTCCATCCCTTCAGGACGTTTCTCTTTAGAGGGGGCCATGGTGTGAAGCGCCATTTGGATCCACTTGGCTTTCAGATGGTTTCAGCATGTTTCAGCAAATTCAACGATAAGTACTTGGAACGTTTCGGGATTGTATTGAATTCGGAAGATTCCGGAAGAGGAACCGATGATTGATGATGAGATCATGACCTTCACCTACTTTTTGTTCCTGTTGCTTTTTTTTCCTGTGTTTCAGATCCTGAGAGAAGAGCGTCCCGTACTTTTGACTGATGTGGTCAAAGTTCTAGGTTGGTGGTTATCTCTCCTATTGTAACCCTGCAACCAACACATACCAACACTTTGGACAGCCAGTCTAAGTTGTGTCGTATAGTTTTTGTGTGTGTGCACATTTAGGGGATGGTCAAACATCCTACCTCCAGTTCATTGGGGCATGGGGACCAAACGGACAACTCCCAGGTTCTGCCTTGTTCCCACATAATTTAATGATATTTAAAGATCTATTGTATTCCACTCAGGTACCTGTCATTCTTTGCCCCTTTGCTGAATGCGCTGGACCAGATGGTCCCGTTGCCCTCCCAAAGGGAACATTCTACACGGCTAGGGCATGAGGTTGTCGCTGAAGCACGGGGGCCCCGTCGTGCTCGCGCGGAATCGGTGTGGCAGGAAAGGAAGCAGTGTTGGCTCACCGAAGGGCGGCAAATCCGAGGATGCAGGAGGGGAGGGACAAATTTCGGCAGCCGAAGAATGTGGGGGGAAAAAGAGGCGAGTCCAGGGGCGTCGAGGGGTGCGCTGATAGGAAGGTCTTCCTATGGACCTCCCCTGTGCTTGGAGATGGGTGGCCACCTTCTGGATGTCCCGGAGACGGTTCTTTGTTGGCTCTGCCGGCCAATCGGCCAATCCCCCGGCCGTTTTGATCACGTCCAAGTCACGCCCCCGGACAGTCACGCCCTTCCTCTTCGTGGGGTACTCTAGGGTGCCAGAGTTACACAAAAACATGCACAAACAACCACGGAGAACAAAGACCGGTGTAATAATACACAGTACCTAGTCTATGTTGTCAAGTGAAATAATTGGACTGGGAGGCCACAAAAGGAAAAGTCCTCGAAGGCGCCAAAGTGACCAGACACTCCAGGATCGTCCATGTCATTGAATCTGTGCCTGTCGTGTTTGGCGCCGTCACCATGGCTTTCTGGCACCGTCACGGGCGCCGTCACTGGCACCGTCCGACGCAGGAGCTGCCAGCCGACCACGAGCTCCAGGGTCCGGCACCAGCCTGCCGTGCGTCGCCTCAGCGGAAAACGAGTGGTTTCAAGGTCCTTAGTAGTAGCGTGCTGGCTCCGTTCATAGCGATGGCCTCCAACCTACTAGCGATGGCCTCCGCCTAGTAGCTAAAAGACCAAAGCGAAGGAATTCTGAATCACCTTCTTAGGATCTTTGAAAGCACCTGCGCTGAAACACGTGGTGTGTATTTTTTGGGGCGTGTACCGTTTATCATTTTCAAAAAAGTCATGTTGGTTCACTTCACACCACGACCACGCCTTTCACTGAAAAGCGCAGGGTGTGGGATGTGGGAGTGAGATGTGTGTTTTCAGTCTAATGAGTCTAATGTTGGTGAGAAGCCATAATATCCCCGCAGTTTTAGGATATGTTCAGCTATGTTGACATTGTGGCTAAAACCTGCAAAAGCCGTAGCCCCCCTCAAAAGCGATGTCCCTGCTGAATCATGTCCTCTGCTTGACCGTACGTTTTGACACACGCTCATGTTGGATTGTGTGAGAATGTGTGAACCAGCAAGAAGTGGAAACAAGATGAATTCTTGCTGGGAAAGCTATACTGGTTCCAGAGTAGATGGCACAAACCCCAACAAACGGTTTAGATATGCTTGTGCCACCTACTCTGAAACCAATGGAGGTTGCACGGATTTGCACACTCTAGAGTGAGGCAACGCCCAGTTTTTCTCGGCTGAGGTTGGATTCGGAGCGGAAAGATCTTGGAAAACGAGTAATCATCTCGATCCTCTTTTTTCCTAGCTCCCAAAAACCGTTCTCTCCCTTCTTCCAAGGACCCACATCCAGAATCCCGGACCAACTGTTTCCCCAACCGGACTCTTCTATCATCGCTCCGACAAAAAACGAGCACCTGGTGTTTCTGCACGAGGCACGTCATGAAGTACCTGGCCGGGGATGCACTGGCTGCCACAATCATCGGCTCCTTGGCAGCAGCGGGTTCGACCAGTGGAGCCTGTGTGCTTTTGTGGTGTTTAGTTTGTGTGATCCTTCGAAAAGGAATGCTTTGTGTCCAACTAAGCAGTTGCTATTGCAGAATATCAGAATAATGAATATTTGTAGTTATTTAGTGGTTCTTCTAGGTTCTTGTTTTTGGTGATAATTGGGCACATGTGGCTGCTTACTTATGGATTTTATCCAGTATGTGTTCCTTCTTTGTCAGTAGGGATAGACCCTTGAATATCCCAACCAAGCCCAACCTATATAGCCTCGCAAACAAAGCTTTGCTGCATGTCCATGACTGTGTAATTGTAAGGGCTCCGCCCTGGTGCCGCCGACCCCTTTTTTGTGAGACAAGGCAGCATGGCGAGGAAGGCAACAACCGAAGTTGGACATAGTGCTCCCCAGCTACTCTGCGTACTAAAGTTGTATTGCTAAGTCGCCACTTCTCATCTTCCAGCTCCACAGCTATACTCCGCGTACTAAAGTTGTACTACGCAGTCGCCAGTTCTCAGCTTCCAGCTCCACAGATTCCTCCGCGTACTAAAGTTGTACTACAAAGTCACCAGTTCTGAGCTTCCCGCTCCCCAGCTACTCCGCGTACTACAGTTGTACTACAAAGTCGCCAGTGCTCATCTCCCAGCTCCCCAGATACTCCACGCCCTCAAGTTGTACTACCCACTCGCCAGTTCTCATCTTCCCGCTCCCCAGCTACTCCGCGTACTAAAGTTATACTATACAGTCGCGCAGCTCCCCAGATACTCCACACCTCTCGCCTGCATTTCGCCACTCGACGCGCACGGTCTCCGCAGAGGGTTGCGCAGGCATCCGCCAAATCGCACTCTCGCCTGTATTTCGCGCACTCGACATGCACGATCTCCGCAGAGGGTTGCGCGGACACCCGGCGAATCGCACTCTCGCCTGCATTTCGCGCACTCGACACGCACGATCTCCGCAGAGGGTTGCGCGGGCAGCCGGCAAATCGCACTCTCGCCTGCATTTCGCGCACTCGACACGCGCGATCTCCGCAGAGGGTTGCGCGCACAGCCGGCAAATTGCACTCTCGCCTGCATTTCGCGCACTCGACACGCCCGATCTCTGCAGAGGGTTGCGCGCACACCCGGCAAATCGCACTCTCGCCTGCATTTCGCGCACTCGACACGCACGATCTCCGCAGAGGGTTGCGCGCGCAGCCGGCGAATCGCACTCTCGCCTGCATTTCGCGCACTCGACACGCACGATCTCCGCAGAGGGTTGCGCGCACACCGGACAAATCGCACTCTCGCCTGCATTTCGCGCACTCGACACGCACGATCTCCGCAGAGGGTTGCACTTTCGGTTGACGCTGTTCGTCCCGCACTCCGCCTTTAAGAGAGAATTATAAAGTGGGGAAATGTTTTTTCATTAGGACATCTCCCGTGCTAGTTTTCCATACACAGAGCCCAGAGCCCAGAGCCCACAGTCTAGCAAGTGCGAGGTTTTGGAGCGTCTGAAGCGTCCACTTCCTTTACATCCAGGTGTCCTAAATGTATCCAGGTGTCCTACTATGACCTCTCAAACATTGACCATTTTTGATGTGCTTAGACACATGCTGCTCAGTGGGATCAGCCTCTCAACCATTTGCCTTGACGTGCTTAGACACATGCTGCTCAATCAGCCTTCAAGCTGACTGAAACATGGCAGCTACCAGCAACAGCTGATCAAGTTTCCTCTCACCATACTTGCTCAAAAAGGTCACCGTAACTCGGAAGTTTCTTTACTTTATTGAAAACACTCATGAAGAGATGAGATTGACCCCAACTCGGATATATTCTCATACTGTGGTGGTGCCACAAAGGGGCAGGCAACAACCTACACGGCACACAGTAGAGTCGACTGGCGCGAAGATTTTTCACGGGGGACGGAGGACTAAAAACGTTTAAACCCGGCTCGACAGGCTTCCACACTTTGGAAGAACGCCACCGTTGGGTTTGCTTCGTGTTTTTCCCTCGAATGTAAAATGCTGTGTTGGGTGCATTTGCGTTTGTTCACACAACATTTAAGGGGTGAAGAGTTTTGACTTGTTGTTTTGCACTTTGCGGCCGGGTGGTCGGTAGCCATTTTTTGCGGTAGCCTTTTGCGGGCGTGTGAAGTAGCTGTAGCTTGCAGAGTGCTAGCCGGCATGCCTTTACTGAACGTGGAGGCCTTGAGTGAGTGCCAACCTGAGTGCTTAGAGAAAGCCTATTATACTCATGTCAGTCTGCTTCTAGAACCTTGTTTGCGCGCAACATCAGCTGACCTCTTTTTGCTTTCACACGTTTCCTGCGCGCTCAGTGACGACGCTCCTCCCGCAAAGACTTCAAGGCCGAAAGGGAAGAACACAAAAGCCAGATTCTTAGGGCCTGGTCCAGATTGCTCCATCCAATGTGCGTGTGGAGCAAATCGTTTTTGGTTCTTGGCCAAGGCACAGGGCAATGCTGCAGTCAAGGTGGCCAAGTTCCCGAAGTTTGGATGGCAGACCCAGACAAGCCTTTTTGCTTGCCCAAAGCCACGCCCATGAAGATCAAACTTGTTCTTTGTCACAAAGGTTTCATTTTGGGCACTTGTGGGCACTTGCCTGTTGAGTGGAAGTACCAAGGCTCCTGGCAGGATGTCCAAGAAGGCCCAACCGCGCACCAAGAAGCTCATCCTTAAGCCTGTGTTTTTGAAAACATGGGGCTGCGTGCGTTGATTGGTTGCATTTAACAAGAGTCATGTTTGAGGTTCACCCTGAGAGATTGCTAGTCCCAGTCCCGGCTTCAGGTTGTTTTGGAGCAACGTACCGCGCGAACGTTGGGTATTTGAGCCAGAGAGGGAAACTGGACCTTTTGAATGTGGTTGTTTCTTGAAGAAAGAAACAGGGTTGCCGTCAAGTTGCTAAATGCGTTGGGTGCAGGATCTGGCGACTCAGATCCACTATTGGACTGAGTTTCGCAAGGCTATGAAGGATTACACTCCGCATGTGGACCTGAAAGCGAAGCGTTTCCTTCCACCAGTCCTTGCTGAGTGGTTTGCAGGTCTGCTGAATTGTTTAGAGTGTTGCGTGGTTATCAGGCTCAATCTGAAACTTATGAGACTGCAAGTAGTTTGTGAATGGTTCTACTAGTTTTGCGCGCAGGCCTACCACAGAACTGGACCTCTCCGACCGCTACTGTGACCAAGGAGTCCTTTAACGATCTCTTCAAGCCACTCCAGGCTTGGCTTTCAAATTTGTTTCGAATCTTCTATGATTTGTTGAGCCGTGGTGATGATTCGGCTTGGCAGGGCAAGCAGGAAAAAGTCATCTCACTATTTTCTGGAGTGGGCGGACTGGAGTTGTCCCTCCGGCAGCGGGGTCCTCAAAACTGCCCTCCACCTGATGTTTTCTCCACTGCTCATGTGTTGCTCCAAATTCAATTTGCCCCCTAGGTTCTGCCACCCGCTTGCGTACGTGCAATGCTTAGGGTTGAGTTACTGCAGGGCTCACTCCCAGACAATCTTTAGCTGGTGTTCGATCAGGTTGAAGCTGACAGTTTCTGCGCGCAGATCATCCAGAAGCGAATGGCTGAAGGATTTTTACCGCCTGGTGAAGTGCATGAGAATGTAGTCACCTTCAACCCCAGTCCGAAGGTGCGGGAGAGTGTGACAGGCATTGTGGGCGGATTTCCTTGCCAAGAGCCTCAAATCCCAATTTGAGTTTTAGATTTGAGCAGTGTTGTTTTGTTTGCGTTGGACTTGAGCACGTGACAAATCAGTACAAGTTTGTGTTCAACCACACTGGCTGAGGATATATCAATAGCAGGTGCCCAGTTGGGCCTTGATGGCAAACGAAGCTCTTTGGTATCGCATGTGTACCGGGTCGCAGACCAATGTCCAAACCTGCGGGGTTCCCCAGATAATGTATTTGGATATCATATGTCATCCCTTTCACGTTGTTGCTGCTCTCAAGGCTATTGAATTCGCTCTCAGGCAGTTTGCGTTGTTGGAGAACGTTGGAAACCTAAAGTCGAAGGACATGGCCAATATTCGGACCTACATTTTGCAGGACTGGACGTACAGTTGCATTGCCTGAGCCCGTGGCGAAGTCGAGCTAGTTGCGTAATTTTTCACGTCGTGATAAAGCTTTCAGGGCGTTTCTTGAGGAGTTGGGGTCCAAACGCAGGGGCTTCTTACAATCCTACAACAGGGGAAATCAGCGAAAGCTCGCAAGTCTCCAGGAGTTCAAGAAGCGTGGGATGGAGGTGCGATGGGCAACGGTAGTGGGCCGAAATGTCGGCGTCAATGTTTGGACCTCAATGGTGTGCCCAAAGCTCGTGTCACGCGCTCTGTCGTTACGCGCTGAGGTGTTTCGTGAACGTATCTTCCTGCTTGCCACAAAGCCAGGTTTCCATTTTAAGGCTGACTTTTCTTGGCGCAATTGTGCTTTGTTTCTTTGAGTCGCTGGCATGGCAGCACAGTGGGGGAAGTTCTTATTGTTTCTTTATGATCTCAGCAGCTCTTCTTTCCTCAGCAAATTCAATACTCCATGTTTTTCATTGCCTTGCAGGGAGCTGTCCTTGATGGAGCTGATGCCTTCACAAGGCGATGCAGTGAACCGTGGAACTCCCGCCAGCGGCCACCACTGACTGAATGGCTTTCAGCAGATTTAACCAAGGAAGATGAAAACCGCCTTCACGCTCTTGGAAACATTGTTTTTCCAAGTTTTGGCCATTTCGCTATCAATGTGATCGAGGAATCGATCCGGGGTTGATTCTATCGGCGCTCTTTGCACCAGCCTTTTCATTATGTCATCATTGTGCTATGTTGGCTTTTGTTTCTCAATGTATTCACAGGTTTCAAGTTCAGCTCATGAAACTCAAACTTTCTGTTGTTTGCGGGGAGGTGCTGGCAACTTGTGTCAGTGCAGAAATTCAAGTGCCAATTCAAGCGCTGACAGCCCAAAGCATTTCAGCGTGACCGTGTAGTAGCAGCTTCAGCTTGATTGCAGGCTTTGCTTTCCAAACGTGTTAAGTCGCTAGATAGAGGGAAACTGAGAGCAGTCCGACTCACAAAAAGAGGGAGGGAGAGAGAGGGGGGAGAGAGGGAGAGAAACACAAGAAAACCAGAAAGAGAAAGAAGGGAAGGAACCTAGTTTAACATGTTATCATTTCAGGGCGGCAGCTGACGTTTGGTCTCGAGGGCCCGGCTAGAACCTTTGTATCAACCAAGTTCGCTTCTCACATGGACAAGAGCAAGGCGCCAGTGATGGGTTCAGGTTGTGTGAGTGTTGGTTGAACCTTTGAGAGTGTCCCTTAAAAAATCATTCAGTCAGTCTGTCAGGTGGATGCCAACTCCCTGGCAGCCACGAGCAAAGCGGTTGACAACAGTCGTCCTGTGAAGGCAGAGTACCCGCGTATGGTTCAAGTTCCACCTCATGTCTCCTGCAATTTACCATTGTTGTTTTGTTTTGTTTGCTCCTCATGACTTCTGCAAGCAGGCAAGGGTTGATGGTGATGCTGGCCCAGTCGCACTAGAGGCAGTTTCCGCATTTTCGCTCAGTGCCCCGAGTGTGTGGTTTTGAATGAAGGCTGATACCGACCGCAAGGACCTGAACCATCACTCAGGCTTGCTATATAATATTATATATTTAACATGTTTTCCTTTCATAAAAAAAGGTTGGCCTTCACCTCAATCACTGGCAGGTGAGACAGGGACACAGAGATCTTTGAGCAGATCCCGCTCTCCGAATCGGCAAGTGGCAGCCAGAATGTTGCGCCAGAAAACTTTGATACTTGGAGATTCTGAAGATGACAAGTCGGATTTTGATGATAGCCAAGCTCCTCCTTAGTCGTAGCTGTCAGCTACGAGCGCTAGAGACTTCAGTTTTGTGTTCGGCCTGCGCCAATAAAGCAACGTTGCCAGAACAAAAATTGGGTTTTGGCTTCAATTGCAACAGTACATACCAGTACTTATTTGTTTTGAGAGCGTTGGCTTTTCACATGAGGGATGTGGTTTGGTTCAAGAGTGAGGGGTTGGTTGTTTGTTTGCAGAGCTCCAGAGTTTATATTTGTTAAGATTGTTTGATACAGCTTGTAGACTTGCAAGACAATTCAAATCATTAGGTTTTTTGTCGGCGCCTAGTTGTCTAATGCCCCCAAACGTGACAGAGCTGTCAGACGATGAGACCGTTGCGCCTCAGCCGCTGCCTGCGCCTGATGAGACCAGTGTGGTATCAAAGACACGGCCCTCCTGCAAGCGGAAACTGTCGGCATTGGAACTAGCCTCGGTATATAGTGATATTCAAGGCGGAACACCCAGAAGTGTCTGTGGGTCTGAAACTATTCAGCCGCGTCCCTTTGAAGCGCTATTTTAAAATCATGCACCAGGTTTGTAATTTAATAGACCAATGTCTGCCAGGTTTAGTTGACCAATTTAGCTCAGGTGTGGGAGGACAACTTCTCGCAAAAGCTGAAAATTCGAGCTCCTACCAGTCACAAGGTTTGCTCAGAGTGCACTAAGCACAAGTACATCATCAAGAAATGCATCTGCAATCGCGCAGCGGCAGATGCCCAATCCCGCATGTGGTCCCGTCACTTGCAACGCCAGTACAACGACAGAGTTTACTATTGGGATCTCAGGGCGGCCTCTCGACTGGGCAAAAATGTTTCCGGGCAGAAGACATTAACAATCATTATTGATTCCATGGACAGATCGAAATGGGCTCTTCCACGGTCTGAAGCCCTAATGTCGAAGCATTTGGGTACAATGCACCGCCCGAATCTGGATGTGACAGCGGCTATCTGTCACGGGCATCTTTGCGCCATATACTTTGCAGAACCTTCCATCGTCAAAGGATCTTCGTGGACTTGCGAGGTTTTGTGCAACTTGCTGCATTGTTTGTGTATGCAGGGGGTGGATTTACGCGATTACGAAGTATGCCTGCACGGAGACAACTGCTCGAAAGAGATCAAGTGCAATTCAATTGCCAGGCTACTTTCACTCCTTGTTTCAAGGAGGCGAGTTCGACGAGCACAACTTCAGACATTGGTCAGTGGCCACAGCCACGAGGACGTGGACGCTTTCTTTGCTTTGCTGGGGGGGTACTTGCAAACGCAAAGTGAGCTTCACAATCCAGAGGATTTTGAAGATGCAGTGTCCCGCTTTCTCTCCAACCGCAGTGTGCGCCCAAACGAGCCTGTTTGTCTGGTCCAGCGCGTCAGCCAGGTCAGAGATTGGTCACTTAGATTGAAATGCCTGCGTGTCCGCCCAACAATGACTAAGGGATGATGTCAAGAGATGTCCCCACCCCACCCCCCACCCCCAGTGGAACTGTTGCTGCAAACATTGACTTCGACGTGCAGCAACCTAAGGAAGTCGTGGCTCCACCTTGGAGCGCGCGGCAGCTACCTTAAAGGAATCGGAGGCCCCGGAGCGCCACACCTGTTCACCTTTGATCGTGCTGCCGATTTGCGTTCCCAGGGTCCTGCAAAGCAAGCCAAAATAACAGTTTCCTTTTCCTATGGTACAGGTGATAAACCCACACTAATCCTGACCAACTCCCAAGTTTGACCCGGCAAGCAAACGAACCCAAAGTGGAAGAGACTGAGGGATTCAATTTCCGCTCAGACTCTTTCTGTGTTCTTTAGGTGTCAACAGATGGTTTGGTATCAGCCTCAACGATGTTCGCTCAAAATTCTGGCAGAGGAAGCACCTGGATTCCGACCATGATGACAACGTGGTTTTGAGGAGCTCTGGGGGTGTGACTTTCTTTTTTTATGGCTGATCATTGTGGTTGTTTTCCTTGTGAACGATCGCTGATGTTCGTAGATTATTCAATGTGTTGGCTGTCACTCATACAGTTTTTGGTAGATTCTTCAGATTTGGTCGCTTTCATTTCCCCAGGACCCGACAGTACCTTTCTGATCCTTCTTTCAAGCCAACCAAAATCTTATACCTGCCAGCAGTGGTCGGCGCATTCATGGGAAGGTCAGTTCCCAACAGTCGCTCGCATACCATTGTGTGAAGACTTTCCTTTGGGGTGTTCTGGGTGTTCCTTGAACGTTAGCTTTCTGCTCAGACTTGGCCATGAAAAAGGTCCCTGCAAGTCCCTGGCCTTTGGCTAAAAACTCAGGGTTTGAAGTCAGCCGGGACTTGTGGGTGCCTTTGTCATGGCCAATTTTCCAACGATCCTTGCCGGTAGCAAGATCAAACAAACCATTTGACCAGCCCAACAAAATTCAATTGTTTTGAAAATCAACACGTTCAATCTTGAGCCCTTTGCTTGCCCACTGAGTTTTGGTACCAGAGAACAAAATCGATGACCAAACGGCGGAGCACTACCTGACGTATGCAGCGCGATTCAGAATCTCAGTGGACTTTTTGGATGCATTGTTTCATACAGAGTGCCATTTCCATCGTTTAAAAGAGGTTTCTGTGACTCGCTTGAATTGGCCGCCGAATGGGCCCAGGAGAACATCCTTTTGAGATGCACAGAGCCGCCAACTTCTTGGAAGGGCTTGCTAAGGGCTCTCTGCCGCGTCAGCCTTTGTTGCCAATTGCAGGGTGCCAAACTTACCCGAGGGCAATTGGTCACAGTACTCAAAATAATTGTGTATAGTTCTTGCCACAAAGAAGATGTGTTTCCATGAGTGTCCTACAATTTTTCTGGTCAGGTGTTTTCCCAATTGCGGACCCGCGATCGGGCATGGGGGTTCTTCTGGCGCCGCACCTGCCGGAGAAAACTTGGACCCAGTCACTCGGACAGATTCCTTTCCAGTGAGAATGTGTTAGCAACAAGAAGCTGCTAGGAGCAGAGGGCATCGCCACTAGGAGCAAGGACGCTACTAGTAGCTCCTGGCTTTACTGGGAAAGTGTTGATTGAGTTGAACTGCCAAGGCTGAAAACGAGCTACAGTTGCAAGCTCAAGCCTTGGAGAGGTCCGCTCTTCAGAAGTACAAAGCCATGAACAAGTCGCAGCAGCTGTATAGGGCTGCAGCTAGACTGTGGGCCGCAGGGATCCCCTGGGCGACTGCCCGTGATATTGTAGATGATGCTTTGAACGCGTGCGTTCAGTGTGAGGAGAGTTGATGCTAAAGGCATACTGCCTGACACTGAACAGCTGGGTATTTACTGGGTGTTGACATTTGTGGCCTGCTCATGGAACCTCTGGTGTCATAGCGTAATAGTCTCTAACTATAATAGTAATAGTAATAGTATTATAGTAGTCTGTAGCGGCCCCAAACTGGCAGACTCAGTGTGAAACATTGGTTTAAGGAACACCTTCTTCACAAATCCCATGCCACAAAACACACCTGTCTGCACAAACAACCCTTCCAAAACCGAACAGCTTGTTGTGCATAATGTGGTCCCTGTTATGCACAAATGTATTGCTAACTTTCAGTTCATGTTGCTTACAAGGCTACACGCTGACTTTACTTCAAATCCACCCTTGGCAAAGAGTGTTTTCTGCAGAACGAGGACCTCATTATGCACAAACCGGAGGGTGTTGGAGAAGGCCATGGATGTGCATAAGGGAGTTGCTGAAGTACAGCAGTTTGCGCAGAGCTGAAAAACTTACCAAGAGTTTGGAGAGGCCTTGTTTTTTCTGCCCAAAGGTCAAAGAAAATCAAAAAAGGTCAAAAAATTGGGTGCGGCATGGACATTTAGGGGGTAATTTTTTTCCAACGAATCACAGATTTTTTTGGACACCTCACCAACTCATTTGTGCAGAATAGGGTCCCCATTCTGCACAAATTTGTCCGGCCGCGCTGAAATTGTAGGCAGCTTACGGAACCATTTTGCGCAGAATGGGGTCCTCATTCTGCACAAACCGGACTCAACCAGCAAAGATTTTGTGCATAACATGTTTTGCTTTCTATTAACCAGCGCTTTGCTTTAAGCGTCATATGTGTGTTTGGTTAGGGTTGTAGTTATGTGCTGCAAGCAATTGTTTAGCAATCAAGGTTGGAACACTCGTGCTTAGGCGTCCGTGTTTTGTAGGGCTGTGTTCAGTGATGACTGTCTTAAAGGCTCCTTCTGTTTGCAGCCGATTGCCAATTTGTCAGGGGATCCGTTTAGGATCTCTCAGGGATGCCCGGCAAACGTAAGTCCTTGCCCAGTATCGGTGGTGGCGGGGCAACGAAAGCTGCTCGCACCGACCTGCATGTGCCAGTGGACGCCCTCCTCAAGGAGTCTGTGAGAACATTTGATTCGTGGTTGCGTCTTGGCCGTTGATCATTGTGTTGCAGCTATGTAGTGACCTCCTTCGTTGTTCGTTGCAGCTGCTGCTAAAGCTTGACACTCATGTGCAAGGTCTGCCACCCTTGAGAAGCACAAGACAATAGACTGTTACATCCAAGCAAAGCTAGCCACAGAGGTGACGCCGTCGGCCGTGTTTCCAGCCCATCTCATGGTAACGTCACTGCGTGTCAGGCGGACATTCTTGAGTTTTACCGCTGGGTTGATGGAGCGTTCCCTCCAATTGCCGGAGTGTCCTTTCCTCAATTGTTTGGACGCTCAAGTGTTTCATCGGCAGATTGCGCCATTTTTTCCACTGAGGGATTACGCGCAAAAGGGGGACCTTTCAACGGAGGCCGGAATCATCCTCCGACCTTGGATGCTGAATTATGACCCGGAGTGTGGTATGAAAGGGTTCATCGAACCAGCCCGGACCTCAGAACGAACAACTCTTGAAGTTGGCGGTTCATTGACTCCACGTGCTTGCTTATTAAGTAGTGGGATGTAGCCCACAGGGTAACATCAATTTGGACACTATTATTCCAACCTGGTCAGGACACTTTGCAAATGCTTTGCCAACTTATTCTCAGCCAGACGCTGCTTCCCTATTCT